GGGGGGCGGGGGGGAACGTTTGGGGGGGGGGGGGGGGGGGGGGGAACGAAGATCGGAAGAAAACTCTAATTGCTCCGATTGCACTGGGCATCGAAGCGAATTTCCTCGCTTGGTTGACGTGACAGATGCAAACTGCAACCCTTGCGTGAATCACGATTTCTGCACCGTCTTAATCTCGGTTTCGTCAACGTTTCATCTCAAGTTGCACTGGAATGCTGAAAGAATGTTCGATGAAAGTCCTATTTAATTTCTGCCAACGTGCAACGAGCGATCTTGGAAACGTTCCAATGACCTTCAAATGTCCCGAAGCAAGAGCGTGGAAAAAGTTGAAATGATGCATTTCCCGAAGGATGTGAAGGATCCAATCTCAAGTAACAGGAATCATCCCGTACACGTCCACTGGATATTCGATAGCGAACGTACAGGACATCCTCAAAAAAAAAAAACATGTATTCCTCAAAACAATTATTCAGTACGTCTCTGTTTCCCTATTACTGGGAAACTTACCTGTTGGGGACTTTCATGCATCCGAGTCTACATGAATTCCAGTTGGGAGTACCCTTCCCCCTGGGGACCTTCCTTCAATTGTCGTCTGAGGTTTTATTAATTTCCCTCCCAGGAATTGAATCCTTTCTGACTTCCATCACGAAATGACTTCCCTGTTTCGAAGTAAAGTGCGAGATGAGATCCCTATGGTTGATGTATTTTACGGGACCCGTAACCCCTCCTCATGAGGAGTCAGACGACCTAAATGTCTATTTCTCCATTTCCATTTCGAATCGTCTATAATTCTTGATTGAAATTGTGACTCATCATAACCCATTTTCCGAGCGAAGCAAAGGTTGAACTTCAATTTAAAAATGACACTAGGATTCGAAAAAAATTCTCTCCACTCCCTAAGCCACGTCTCTCCACGCACTGGTGGCATCAGCTCAAGAGATTTCATGAGTAGCCTACAGCGACGTAATTAGGAATATTCTTTTCGGGAGGTGTCTTGGGCTGCTCTTTAGGGCTCATAATAAGACTAAGTGAGCGAGGGAGGATGGGTGGTTAGGAGGGATGAATAAATTTTTTTAATGGCCTTTTTCACACATTCGGGGGGTTTTCTACTTTTTCATTTTATTACTGTCTCTTCCCTCCTGCATCATTTCTAAAGCAAGTGGGAGGATTGGCTTCGTCCGTCGAATGGATGGGTGGCTGCAAAAATCAAATAGGTGAATCTAAAGTTATTTGAAACCAGGAGTTCAACGATGAAATTTGGAGTTGGAATATGATACCGTAACCAGGCATATCATAGGTGTTGTTTTTTTTGCAAGTGCTTCCATCGGTCTCATCAGAACCATTGGTAAAGTCGATATTTTGGTGGGGCTTTCTGTCCACTAATTAACAAAAACTAGAGGAAGTTGTACAAAAAAGTTGGTTGACGTAACTCAAAGGAAGTATGGGCGAGTTTCGTTTCGTTTTAAAATACTTAAATCGTAAAATCACATTGAATGCCAATGAAAGGTTGAGGAAGCAGAAAAGGTTGTAGGAGCAAATGTGGCTGGGTTGATGACCTCCGACGTGAATGTCTTGCCAACTCTTTATCCCCTTCCTCCCTCCGGAGAGGTGAAGTGCAGTGAATCTTCATTTGACGAGGGAAGGTTGAGATGTTCCCGGATTTCATTTTTATGACACACAGAACTGTACTTCGAGCTTTTTTTATTTTTATTTTTATTTTTACTCCAATTCTACCTTTTCAGCATAATGACTCAAAGCAATCCATACTTCTTTCATCGGGATGAATAATTCCAGCAGCAAAACCATTCCTTAGGAGTAACTGCTACTCACTGGCTTATGCAAGGGCGTTCCTTGATCCGTGTCAAGAAACGAATTTCCACATCCTCAGTAATGCACTACTATACACCCACCGCCATGGAGTTGAATGTTCTTGATGAAATTCGGTACACATGCTCATGACAATTTATAGTGAAATCGAAAAGAGTTTCAAGGGCGTAAGATGAATTTTCACAGAGAAAACTTGCCAAATACTCAATTTAAATGTGGGTGAAGGGTCTTACCAATCGCTTGTCCGAGTGTTTAATCGACGCAAGCTAATTGGGGCTCATGCATCAGCTTGACCCATAAGCCTGATGCATGCACCTAGTTGATGCGTGCCAAGCATCCCAATTAACCATCACCGATCAAACGCTTTAACAACTAGCTTATATCGCCGTCAGAGATTTCATCTCGACATGGCTTCGCTGTTAGACTTTGTCTATCGCGTTCGGCAAGTTCTTTCTGCATTGCTTCATCCTATGTTCTTGAAACTTTGCTTGATTTTCATACACATCTTTAGGAGTTCCCCTTCCAAGATTCATTTAATAAAATTTTTTTGGTGGCCGTTTTGGGTCATTAGCACAATCTCCATTTACACGAGTATTTTGCATGTTTTCTCAGTGAATATCCATCCTATGTACTTGAAACCCTATTTAACAATATACTACCATAAGCTTGCAAACCAAATTTCATCAAGATCGCTCAACTCGTTGGGGTGCAATTTTTTGGGTGGTGAGAGTTACTAACTATAGAACAAGCTCAAATAAGCCAAATTAGAAAAAAGGGGGCCTCATCCAAGAGTGTGGTGCTGCAACAAGGCTATCCCATCCATGTCGTCACCTGGGTAACTAATGACCTTGGCTGGGAATTCTACCCCACCCACTCTTAGTTCAGACTTTGCCCCTTCTCCCCGCAAAAATTCAAAGTTTCTAGCCTGGAAGAGATATGGGTCAAGGACTGGCTGCATCAATGGATGTCGCGTGGATGAAAGCTACTCCTGAAGAATGAATTGCTGTCGGAATTCCAAAACCGGTGGAGTAATGTATTGTTTAAGAGTGATTGTGTCGAGAGAATAGAAGTGAAAGTCCAAAGTTCAGATGTATGTGTGAGTCCGGGAACATTTCAATCTTAACATCACCCAATGGGCAAATCAACATTCAATTCCAATATTTTTCATTAAAATGTTAGCTGTAATTATGAATGTATTGGTTGGCATGGTTGGGGCTGACTAAGTTTTAATGAATACCCTGCATACAAGGTAATGAATTTATGGATGAAATAAATGTTAAATAATTAAAAACTGTTTTAAGCCCCTTTGTCCAATTTGACAAGATGTCAGCTTAAGAGTTAAAAGGTTCAGGTGTCTATCACCTGCTTCCCTCAGCAAGGTCCTCTAAGACCTTCGTTATTTCTGGTTCTCAGGAGACTTTTACCCCCACACTTGGTGTATTGGACTTGCATGGATAAATCATTCCACCAATAATGATTGAAAACATTAACAGCAGGTGTAGAAAATTTTTTTATTCAATAGGAATGTTTGAGTCAGGCAAAAGTAATAGTTAGCTGCCCTGAGGAACAAATGAAGAGCATTAAAAAATGAAAACAATAAAGAACAAAAAAGAAAGAAATCACCATCACAGGACGTTGCATACTTGTACATCACTACAGTGCTTTAAGTGACTGAAGCTATGCTCCTTCTTTTGGAATGTTGTTGACTTTATGACAGAAGATAACCCAAATATATATATATTTGCATGCATTGATAACCTGAACAATGATTTTGTTCACTATTCAAGTTTGATTTAATGTTATTTTATTTCTCCTCCACTTTATTTTTCTGGAAGGAGACATACTGAGATATGATTTCAAGTTCAGTGCAGGGGCTTGTTGCTCCTCAGACACTTTGAGCACTGCATCACCATATTTCAAGGGAAACTCATACTGTATAATATACCCATAAAAAAAATCTTGTCATGAATGTCATGCCATGAAGATTAGGTATAAAATAAAAAATAATAATAATGATGAAGTGAGCTGCACATATTCCAGATCTCTCTCTTTCAGAAGGATTTTTCTTTCATACTGGATTCATCACTGGGACACGATTCACTACCCTGCAGCAAAAAATTACATGGGACACACTTACTTCCATCATTCACACAAAAATTGCTTTCCTAAGAGCTACTAATGTGCTATGTGTGCCCAACTGGGTTCTTTATCTCCGACACTCCTACTAGACTCTAAACTTCTGGAATGGCAGGAGAAATAAATAAATAAAAAAGGTGAACCAAATGTGTGGAAGGCAAAGTAGAACCATTCAGGCCTACTTACAAAGAGCCAGTTGGGCAAGGGATTTGAAAATTGGCATGATGAAATGGCATGAGAAACGAGGAACAAAGTATCTCAACCCTTTGGCATCCACACCTGAGATATTTTGTTTTTGTGTGTTGCTTTGTGCTGACCCACACTTTAAATATCTCATTTAGTCAATGTGAGAAAGAACTCAGATTGGCACATGCAGTCATAGTGCAAAAAAACTTGGGATGCCAAAGGGTTAATGAAGCACCATCAACACCTACCAAGCAATTTCAGCAGATTACTCCCCTCTCAGCATTCATGTCCACTGCAACATAATCAAGTCAGACATAGTAAATGGGAGCTGGGAAGGGAAGAATAGCATTCAGTGGAATATATTAGCATTGGCATACATGAAAATTCTAAGGTTGACAACTTGAGTAGATTAATCGATCATTTGAGTATAGTTTTAATCACAAAATGCATTTGATAAATTTCAAATACTGGGAGTTCCATAAAATATTTAGGCATTTTCTTCATAAATAAAATCTAAATATATCTTGCATTTATTATTATGCTTTCATTCAATATGCGGCACACTGTTTGGAGAGTACTTCCACCACTACCACCATTGCCTTATGCAAGGAATTGTGGTAGGTGTTGCTAGCAACATGGTGAACAGTTGAGAACAAGTTTATAATTGCACTCTCCCATTAGTATAGACCTTAATCCTTGCAATTACTCCTGGTGGGGGTAGTAAAGGATCAGGTTTTTTGCAACAAGTCTTAGACTTAAAATGAGCTGCATCATATGATCAAAAACCTATGTTGCACATGTCAGAATGTCACTATCTGGCATTCCCATAGGTACTATGGGAAATGCTAGATATTGTGGTCGGTCTGTCACTTTTTTTTCATTCCATCTGTTCACAGTAACCATATTGACCAGACAACACAATCCACTGCACGCACACAGCTTTCCGCCTGTGTTGGGGTGCCCCCATGCAATGTGGATGCATGAACCATTGAGAACATGATTAGTTGCCCAGGCCTTTTCATATTGGCCTATGCTAAACCAATGACAGATATTTTAGGGTTAGATTTCAAATAAGATGCTTGGCAAGATCTTGAATTTAGTTTCTTGCCTCCACCTTTAATGTCCTGTCAACAGTGGTATAGCCAAGGTTTGGCCAATGGGAGGGGCTAAGCAGAACAGTGGGGGGCTTACTTCTCCTTTGCCCAGTGGGGGAGGGGGGGGGGGAGCAGATGCATTTAGACCAGAGTTGGAATCTTGCCAATATTTTTTCTTATCAAGCCCAACTGTAAGATATTTATTTCACAGTTGAATGGTTAGGATGGGGTGAATATATATAATGATTCCAATGGTACAGAGGTCAGTGGAATGCCAGATCTATACCTGGGATGGTACTCCCTAGGTGGAAACTTCACTCATTGGTTATGGATATCAATCCAAATGCAAAACACTAATGTTGAATTTATTCCTGACTTGCAGAAAATGTCAAAATTGAAATGCCACCAATTGTGCAATATACTGAGCATATTATTTACTTTGAAAATTCAGAGTTCAAGATTCATGGGAGCCTAAAGGATGAAGGTTCCAGTGGCACATATATGTCCAACCTAGGACCTTAGTGTCTCAGGCCATTGGGCTCCTGCAAATTTAGATCATGATTATCCTGCAATATTGCATTTGACTTTTTAAATAATTGAAATGCCTCAAGTATCTTAGGAATGCCCTGAACTACAAGTAAATTAAGATTCCCCTTAATGGCTCCTATGTATATGCTTTCTCTTAGTCTCAGAGTACATGAGGTGCAAGAAATTACAACTGGTAATAGAGTGGAGCTGAATAACCACAATTTCTGTAAAATGTTCCCCCACTGTGAATTGCAGTTAAATTATGTTTTCCTTACCTGATCAAAAGGGAATTATGAGCTAATTTAAAATGTCATAATTAAAAGATTAATAATTAAAAAAAAGCAATAATAAACTAAAGTCCTGATAGGATCAACAGTGAATTTTGTAAGTGTATCATACTGTTAATAGCACTAAAAAAAGAATGAACAAGCAGACTCACAAGGCTCAGGATATTCCATCTCTTCTCTATCCTCTCCATCAGAGCTGTGGCTAGAAGCTAGCATTTCGTCTGACCCTGGAAATATGCAGGGACAGAGAAATGAGCATGACACTAAATTTAATAGAGATAACAATATCCAAGCAGTGAGAGGCTCACTTGGGTAGCGAGGTACAGAGACAATCTCACTGGCAGTGGGTGTGCTAGTAGACCCCATTGGATGATATGTTTCTGTCCTGTAAAAACCAACAAGCTGCAGTCACATGAAAGAACAATCTCATGACCATAGGAGAAGAAAAAGGAGCTGGACCTCTGGAAACTGGATTCACTAGGACAGGAGGATCTGGATGTTGTGCTGGAAGTTGAGAATCCAAATGCCTCCCGAGCCAGTTGGAAATCAGCATTGTAGGCAAGGGCTGAGCGAGCTCGAGTCCCTGAAGCTCGTGAAATTTGGACACGAGAAGACTCATCATGTTTGGAGGAGACCAGAGTCTGCCATACTCCAGTTCTCACTTTGGTGTTGAGAAGAAGGAAGGCAAGAAAGAGATAGAGAGAGGTGAGGGTGCAAGCAGGAGGGAATGCATAATGAGGGAATGGTTGAGGTTCATTTGAGATGAGGAGTCCAAGACCCCAGGTGAAACACATGAGGGGAAGGAGACCCAGGCTGAGCCAGAGGAGTCTCCTCAGATTCCCATATGCCTCTATATGATCCTGGAGTGTGAGAGAGGCCTTGATGGCTAAGCCAAAGAAGAGAAGGGCAGCCAGGACCATGAAGCAGATTGGCCCAACTAGGCTCCAGATTGCACTCTCGTACAGGCTCACCCAGCAGCTGCAGCAAGGAGAGGATTCACTTATCAGAATCCTGAGATTCCTCTCTACAGGACCATTTTATGGTGAGATGAGTGAGACAGGAACTCACAAATAAATAGTGCCAAACTGCTCTGCCCGCACTCCAACAGCCAAAGCCACAATAACAGCTGGGATACCAAAGCCCACAGAATAGTAGAATCGCATGTGACCATGGTTAACATCACGAAGTTCAGTCAGCATGCGATGCAGATGAATAGCATCCACCAAAATCCATGAGAACAGGCTCAACCAGAAATAATGAATGAGAATTGCCAATGCCTTGCACACACCCTGAAGGAAGCATAGACATCATGTCTTACAAATCTGCACAAGAGATAATCCTATGATTCCTATTAGCACAAACAAAAGTAGTATGAAAACAACTCTTACCTGCAGTTCAAGAAGGTAAACCCGTTCCTTGAGTGTTACTAGGAAGAGGATTTGAATGGTGAGAAAGCAAACAAGAATATCCAAATGAATTTCAGAGGAATTGGTGAATTTTTCAGCTCCAGATCGAAGGATGAGGAAGCCAATAACTGTAATAACCAGGAGTGCTATGGCAACACCAAGTCCAACAGAACTGCTCACATTTTCCCATGTCCCCATCTCCAGAACATGCTGGATATGAAAAAAATATTTGGTGTAACATTTTCACAATCAATTATATGCAGCAACAGCAAACAAGCAAAGTCAGGAAACTGAAACATAATATGCATGCATTCTAGAAAGTCTGACAAGTCTATTGGCACAGTACTTGTCAAAAGAGATGACTATTAGAGAGGTATTTTAAACTCCTGCGTTGTCAATCACTGATTTTTAAACACTTCTTTCATTATGGAGGTCAGACTTGGCTTCATCGAAGTGCAAATACTAATAAAGCAAGGTAACCTGAGGATCTTCATAAAGCATTCAAGTTCATAATGAACACACATGAATAAACCTCCTGGATAGAGGAGTTGTGAAGGGACTCCAATGCTCACCTGTGGCAGGAGCTTGTCCATGAGGATGCCATGCAACCCAGAATGACTACAAGAACAGTCCACATAGAACTTTCCATCAGGATATTCCCATGATCCAAAGTAAATAGTCTGACAGCCCTTGTTTGTCCAATGTCCACTGTGACTGAGGAATATACCAAAAATATATGATAAGTACTGAGAAGTCTTCATGCTTGGCTACATTTATGTTGTACTTTAGGATAAAGATGTTTCCACTGACCTGGAATCTGAAGTGGACATCTCCCAGTAAACACACTGGGGAGCAGAATAGCGATCAATGGCAGGGACTTGAAGACGCACTTCTGAGCGGGAAGGAACTTGTCCAAACTCCGATCCTTTGTGAATGGCATACGACAGCAAAGGGCTCACTACTTCTAAAGCCACACCATAACGCTGTTTGATAGTATCACTGTAGAGCTTGGGGAGGAGGTCTCCCACAGATGGGTGATACATGATGTAATGGAACACAGCTGGTAATTCACCCTTTGTATCCCCCTCTTCTGCAACAGAAAAAGGTAGCAATTTCAAGTGAGGCTACAGGCCTACAGTATACAGTCAACTCTTGTCAACCTGCACTTCAGTAGACCAGTGATTTTGTCTGGATTACCAGCTCATCTGAATCAGAGAAAACTTGTGTGACCACTTTACTTCTCTCTTCCTGAAGAAGGCCACTTAGTGCACAGTAGTTTGTCTTATTTATTTTTTTTTTTCAAGCACACAGTGATTTATTAAACCACTCATACCAAAGAATCCTGAATGCTTTTTTTGCAAGGTAAAAACCTCACTTAGAATATGTTCTTCATTGGTGCTGCATTCCCCCTCCATACCCCAAACACTTTGGCAGAACTGCTTTGGTTTTAAGACTTACTTTCTCTATCATCAGGACTAATGGGAGAAAGAAACTCTTCCAGGAAATGTGCAAAGGATGGAAGTGATGGAGGGGAATGAGAAAACAGCTACCAAATAAATACTCAAATAAAAGGAACAATAGTATTACAAATAACCTGGGCAAGTTAATTTTTCTGTTTCTCAGATTCCAGTAAAGGGGGGACACAGAGATGATTTCAATTTTGTTTATGAGATGAGGGGAAGTATGAAGGAAAGTGAAAGAGACTGAGTAACTAAATGTTTACACTTCCTTTTCTCAAGGAAGGGCACATTTGAAGGGGAAAAAAAATCACCATATTCTTCCCATGGCTAATTGTACTCCATATCTTATCCTTGGAAGTCCACATTAGCTGGGTGAGAATGGCTCAAGGGACCAGAGAATATCAGCTATGAATTAAAGGCATTGAGACTGAATGGGTAATTTTTATATGAGCTCAATGAGGTTTCTGTCTTACTTCATCGTTATTAATGGTAGCACCAGCATATTGACGCTTGGATAAACAAAAGTCAACTGTATTAAATAGAAGCAAGAGAATGATTCTAGCCTTTTAAACTCACTAGTATGGGAGATGAGCCTCAAGGATAAATGGATGTTGGAATCCTGATACCAGGTATAAGAGCTGCGATAATAATTGTTGTACTTGGGGAGAGAGAAGATGACCACTCCCTCTGTCTCATGTCTCTCAGCTTCCTCTCTTGATATTGTGTCCACACCAAACACTGTAGGGCACACACACAAACAAATGAGATGCATTGATATAGGAAGGGGAGGATAATGAATTATAACTGAAGAAAAAAAGCTGTAAAGCTACAGACCCATTGTGGAAGTGGCAATCTCAAAAGGGTTGGTGTAGATATCAGTAAGGGAGGAAGCAAGAGTGCCAGCATAGCTGGAGAGAAGCTGCATCAAAGCCTCAGGTCCTGCACCTGTCAGTTGTCTCACCTGCACCCAGTGTTCCACGTACTTCATCTTCAAGATCTCTGACACACTCCATACCACATTCTGAAAGCAATATGCAATAAGTTAGGCATCCTTAAAAAATATCCTGTGACATTTCTGGCATTAATTTTTTTTAATGATTCCAGACAATGTGTTAAGACATGCCTATTCTAAAGCATGCAATAGATATTTTAGGGGTATTCAATGATAAGGACTAATGATAAGGAAAACCCACTCGTATATAGGATCGATCCTGTCGGTGGGTAAGATTGTAATGCTGCTGCATCTCATACTGAATGAGATATGAAATGAGTTGAGCAGAAATCCATAGATCAGCCCCATGCAGCATTTGAGTTTTGTTGGTTGCAGATCTCAGATCCTTGGCAGCCTTCATTGCCACCCAAGTATTCAACTGCAGCTGGGATCCCTCCATCTTTTCCAACTGAAATGAATATCAATTCTTCCTTTGTTCCTGTCATCACTTAGGACTTGGAAGTCTTAGTCCTACCGTACCCAAAAATGTGGTACCATAAGATGAGTGGCAGATGAAGTACTGATAGATTCTCCCTATTTAGGATGGCAAGCAAGTAAAATGTCACCTTATTCAGTGGGAGAATGTCTACAGTTTTCAGCAATTGTGGTAGATTTGCACAATAATAGATTTGGGCATTTTTAATTTGGAGCAATTTTATAGTCTATAAAGGAAGAATAAATAACCTGAACTTAACAACTATATAAAAGGAAATTGAATGCAAGGGCAGAAAATAATATATTGAAGTTCAAGACAAGAAAACTTCACAAACTTCTACTTGACCCAAAACTTACCATAGTGCGCAGGTCAGTGAAGGGGAGGGAAGTGCAATTAAAGAGGTCAGGCTGGAGCCAGCCACGATCAGAATCACAGAGGCGGAATGCTTTTCCTATTGAATCCTCAGGGCAGTCCTCTTCAGCCATTTCCCCAAATTGTGTTCTCCGCCACCAGATCCCATGTGCAAAGTTCCTTGGGCAGCCATCATATATCACTGCAAGGATGTAAGAGAAAGTGACAGTCACAGTCACTTGCATGAAGTAGTGTGAAAACCATTTTTCAAAGCCTAACACCATCTCTTCAAGTAAACCTCCTCATATACACAGGACTTGCTAACATTAGGCCTAACATTAGTAAGTCCAGTATTAGACCCATAGAATGTCCAGGGTGGTCCACAATTGTCTCCCCAAAAATAAAAGCTTATTACTCAGGAAATATACATCCAATTTCAATGATATGTGACTCAAACGATCACCAATTCAATTTATTTTTAGTGTGGAAAATTTCAGCGTTCCACAAGAAACTAGAACAAAGTTACATCATAGCAAATGAAAGTACCCATATCATGCAGCTAAAGCCTGTAAATATCACAATCCCTTCTGAAATTCCCAATTCCATTTTGAGTTTAGCAATTCATTTGTGGGTTTTTCATTCATCACAAGGGATTGTCTGTGTCATGGGTGACCTCAGTATCCTGCAGAATACAAATATCCCCATTTGGTTTGAGAATTTGAAGAGAGCAAATTTGTGCGGGGAAAATTTGGAAATTTCTTCAGTTTGGGTCCAAATGTCTCAGTTCCTGATGTGAAGATCATGAATGGTTTCTGAACCTGAAAAGATTCATCAATGGACCTATGACAACCTAGATATGCTGAAACAGGCCATTAGAGATGCCTTCACCACAGAAGGACTAGAGATGATTGAAAGAATTCTGCTGGCATGCAAGGAGAGACTGCACCAAGTCATTGAAAATTGTGGAAGTCACATTGAACACTAATGATTTGGCAGCTTTCGTTTGTAAGGATATAACTTTGTTTTAGTTTCTTACATAATGATAAAATTTTTCACAATAAAAATATATTGAATTGGCTATCATTTGAGTCATATATAATTGAAATCAGATTTATCTTTCCTGAGTAATAAGCTATTTCTTTGGGGGGAGACAATTGTGGACCACCCTGTACAGTCAGGTATAGGCCTACCTTTTTTCGTTCAAAAGAATCTCAACCCTCAACTTGTAAGGCTAACATAGGACCCTTGTAAGTCCTAAGGGCTTATAAGGGGTCAATCTCAAGGTTTTCACAACATCTCAGTGAGGATGTATAACATTAAGCTGATCCTATGCAGAACATGTGCAGGACATTTGCAGGACTTACCTTGGCATCCAGCAGGGGTGACTTCAGCAAATGTATTGGAACAAGAGTCACATCTTCTCCCAATCACTCCTTGCCGGCACTGACACTGACCTGTGTTCTCATCACAGGATCTCCCAAATGACCCCAGGTGATAGCAATCACAATCATAGCATGCTTGACTCCCTGGTTTCTGATAGTGATGTACCTAGATGAAGTAATCAAGAAAAATACCAAGCCTGTCATCAAGATGAGTCCATTTTCTTAACCCTTTCTGTGCTATGGACAGTAATTGCTGTCATGGGTTTTTAGGCCTGAGATGCTTTGTACATAGTGGGAAGTGGAATTCATTTCTTGGTGAGTGAAAAAAAAAAACACATTCAATTATCTTGACTAGTTCCAGAGATATAAGCATTTTACTGAGTGCATATGTAAAATCCACCACATAAGAAAAGTTCTGGCAGCACTAAACTCCCACACTACAAAAAGTTTTGGCATGGAAAGGGTTAATGCCACCTCATATTAAAAAACTTAGCAAAAGAATTCCAGCTTACAATCCCAAATCCCCTATCATTTTATACATTCAAGCAAGCAAGGGCAGCAAGAAATGAACAAAGATAGGTCATCATATGAGCTCACCTTGCAGGAGCATTCACCAGTTGTCTTGTTACACTGGGGATCATAGCCAAGTTCAAGAGGGCATGAACAGGGCCCACATACTGGGGATCCCCACCAATGGGCAGGACATGGCTGTTTGAACTTCTCTTCACAGTATTCTCCTTCATTGGAGAGAAAAAAATAAGACAAGTGATCAGTCACAAAAATCCAGAGACCTATATCTAAGACCATCCATGATACCAACTCACCTGCAAGATGCTGAGAGGTGCAGATGCATCTATATCCTTTAGATGATGAAGGATCAACAATGCAAGTCCCTCCATACATGCATGGATGGAGACTGCACACATCAATGCAAGAATCTCCCACATATCCTGTCAATAATTAATGTCAATGACTGGTATTGATGTGCACATCCTGTTACTCATCATTCATCATCATTTTCACAGTACTCACCAGGATGACAGATGCAAGAATGGGCATTCCATTCATCATGGCATGTGCTATGTTCAGGGCATGGATTGGGGCTGCATGCATCAACAGCAGAGCAGCCAGATCTCACATGATGTGTCACAGCTGGTTCCAACCATCCCCTATCTTTTCCTACCTCTACTTCCTGTTAGTAAGGTAAGAAAGACCACATAAGTCAATGACTTGACATTAGCTTCAAGATGGGAGATATTACGGAAAGAGTAAGGGGTTTTTCCAAACCTGGATGCATCCAACAAAACTGGATCCAACAGTGACATCATTAACAACAAGTCCAGATACTGGGAGAAATGTTCGGATGTCAGCCTTTTTCTCATAGTGGCCATAGTCCACATTGAGCCAAATATGATTTCCCTTCATCCAGGTCACTTCAATGTGATGCCATACACCATCAATCACTTCCAAGTCAAAGTTCATCTCCTCTCCTCCCACAAGGAGTCGTAAGCCTTTCTCTGTTACCTGAAAAAGATTAATAGAGGATGGATTTGGGGTATAAAAAAAAAGGAAAAATCATACATTATCACTTTGATTATTACATGGTACTCAAAAACCAAAAATGTAACCTATTCAGGATTTTGCTGACAGAGGAAGGGCTTCTGAATGAACAACATAAATGGCTCTTCATGGACATCAGGTTCAGCATAGAAATACAACAGATGAAAAGGAGAAATGACTCTTACTCTTAGAGAAACTGGGATGTCTTTTCCAATGGTTGTGGTCACAAGTGTTCCATTTGGAACTCGCATTCTTGCACTTACAACCATAGTCCAGGGGAACTGGAACAGCTGAAGCCTTGGTTTGTAGATCAGATAACCGTCTCCAGCAAATTCTTTCACTTCTTTTACCTCTAGATCATGAAAAAAAAATTATAATAGCATTAAAGGTCATGATATTTCTATATTTTGCATCCTTTTTCTTCCACACAATTTTTCATACCTTTTCCGCAGTCCTTGCCACTATAACCAAGAGGGCACTTGCAAATATATGTGTTCCATGCATCTTGGCAGAGTCCTCCATTCTTGCATGGATTGGAATGGCAGTATTCTGCTTTGGCTTCGCATCCTGCCTTGCTACCATTGTTCACTACATATCTGAAACATCATCAACTTTGGCATAAGCACACAGGTGAGAAGAAAAGGCATGTCAGTGCTATCTACAGGTCAGAAGGAAAGGCATATCAGAGCTATCATATCATGTGAATCTAATCTGGGAGACTCACTCATCCAGATTGATGTAGGTATGGTCAAGACGTAAGTCAGCAATGCACCCTGTGAAGGCAGTGGAAGCAACAGGAAAGTTTGAGGAGATGGATGGAAGGCCACCTATTTGAAGGGGTCCTGTGAGATCCAGGAATCTGTGGCAGGTCTCAGTTGGGATTGCACACCTGTCAACAAGTAAATAACAAAGTGGGCCTATGAAAGGAAAAACATTGATAAAATTAAAAATAATAATTTGCAGAACTAGAGAACTGATGAAGGACTTTTTCTCTAATCATTTGATAAATCAGTGTTCTCCCATAAATATATGAGGGCTGGGATCAGGTGTCAACAAATCACAGTCTCACAACATGCTGGCAAGGTCCATATGGAGTCCTGAACCTTGTTCTTGGGGGGATTGTATAGTATCTGATGCTCAACCAAAATGTGGCAAAAAAGGGGCAGAAAAATAGTCACAATAACCAATGAGCATTTGAAAATAGTTGTTATGAAAAGTTCTAAGTTCACAAATCCAATTCCTCTCTTCTATGGAAGATGCCAATGCACTCCAGTCTGATATTGGGTAAAAATGGTTGAAGATTGCCCAACATGAGGGCAGCTATCAATATTACACATTGAAAATGTTAGGGCAACAGCTTTCCTTTTCCTCAGCATTATCTGTCTGCATCATACTTATCTTCAATTTAAGTTTTTCCCCATGCAATTGCCTTTTCCATCTTAAATTCAACATTTTTAAGTAAACTAAAAAAACTGCCCCTCATTTTTCATGAGATGAACTTAGACAGTCTGAATGAGAACCAATTGTAAATTTCCTCAGGCACGCATGTATGGAGACCAAGTGCCTTCAGTAATTTGGTGCCAGTAATGATTTTCATCTTTACTGTCCCCAGGGTGCACTTGTTTCACATCAGTAAGTGGACACTCATATTCTCCAGCCAGTCAAGTGTACTTCACCACTTATTATGGGGCAAGTAGATATCCTATAAGCCCTATTATTGACTTTCATTGGATTTTCCTAACTCTCAAAAAATATAACTTTTCTTCAGATCAAAATAGATTTAATAGGGTTGTCACTGTTGTTGTTCCAGAAGCCCCAATGAAAAGACAGGCTGTTCAAATATTTCTCTCTTTTTTTAAAATGATTTTTAGGGAGCACAGTAACATGTGATACCTAAATATTCAGTGAATGTTCAGGAAATCAACTGGGTATTTATTAGGAGCCCTAAAAGATCTTTTCCAGCTGATTAAGAAAAGTCAGTTTCAATTGTCTGTTGATACAGTCTCACCTAGGTACTGTTGCTCAGAAAAAAGTTTAATAGCTGCTCAACTTGATACCTTTCAGGAAGAGGGTGATTGATGACAGCAGAGCAATATGACCTTCCAAGCTGTTGTTCTACCCTCTCATCACAGTCATCTGCTGTTACCTTCACAGTCTGGAGGAGAGATTTTCCAAAACCAATAAAAATGATAACTGAAAGAAGGTCATCATCAAGTGTGCAGGGAGAAATTGAATTAGTGCTCACATTGTTGAGAAATTGAACTCTGACTATGTGCCACTGCCCATCTGTAATGGGTTTCTCCACAGAAGCATATGTCACATCATCACCAAGGGAAAAGGACACCTCCAATTTCCTTTCTCTAATCTCAATTGCCACAAAGTCATGTTGGTCATTGAAGCGGCCATTGTAGAGCAAGAGCCCATTTGGTGCAAGTGTGGCAAACCTATTATCAACACATGTCAAAGAGTGAAGAGCAATCCACAGCTATATCATCAAATGAGATAGAACTGATGATGATGGAAAAAGGAGATGCACCTGAATTGGATGTCGAGATGATAACGATTCCGAAGGCCAGGGAAGGTTAAAAAGGATCCCTGTGAGAATGTCCGTGCCCTCAGTTCACAACGTTCGCTATAATGAGTATTCAAAGGACAATTCTGGCACATAATTCCACTATGAGTTGAGGGGGCACATGTGCTCTCCCCACTACACCAGTCACCATGACTTTTGCATGTCCTGGTCTCTTCACGAGTCTCACAGAATTTGCCTGCATGAAGAGTGATGAAAAAAAAAAAAAATTGAAAGGGAGACATTTTGTATAATGAATAGGAAATAGATGCAACCAAGATCAGATGATGAAACAAACCCATGAATCCTGTTTTACACTTGCAAACATATCCTCCTTCCTTCTGAAGACATTCTCCATTGTTCTTGCAAGGATTCGAGTAACAAAGATTTACTTCCACATCACAATCATAGTGATCTCTCATACCTGAAAATAACCAATTGTTCAAATACCAAGAGGGTGTTTCTCAGAGCAACATGGGGGATCAGTGGGACTGGATCAAGGAGAAGACACTTTCAACAGGAATGCCAACACACCTGTGAAACCTATTGGGCACCTGCATGCAAAGGTGTTGACTGGATAGATGGGTCGGAACAGGACCATAGCACTGCTCAAGAAATCTCCTGCCTTCCCAAATTTCAGGACAGATAAACAATCCTCAAAGTTGGGGCAGGGTTCCCTCACACAGAGGTTATCATCGAATGGAAGGACCTACAGGGGAAAAACATATTCAACAATTAAAAAAAACCAACACCACGTAATTGAGACATCATAGGAGATATGGAAAGTGACTCACTTTAGCAGATGTCATGTGAGCTAGGATGTCCCTCTTTAAATAAACTTGCTCCCGAAGGTGTTGCTGAGACAAGTACACATCTGGCCGTTTTGGATCTGATGCTGAGAAGCTCACATTCAGCACTTGCTCACGCACATCAGTATCATCCTGGGAAAACAGTTTTAAAAAAGTATGTAAGAGAAAAGAGAAAAGGTTCTCATTAAAAAAGGAAAGAAGAAACAAATCAAATGCACAGGCCCAAATAAGCCTGCAAGGATTCAACTAATGCCAATGTTCATAAGATAGCATCTGGAGAAAAAACACACCAAAGATTGAATCAAAGGAGAAGAGGCTAATAAAAACCATCATTCTCAAAAGTTAGAGTTAAAAGTATAGATGCAACGATATTCAATTTTTGCCAATATCTGATAAATTGACACCGATATCTGTATCCACACATTCATGCATTAACCCCTCCACTGTTGATAATTATTTAGGAGCAAGTCTGATGGTGAAAGGTGCACAATATCCAGTGGTGAGAAGAAAAGTTTTGTTTATGCTGAAGCCAGGCTCTTCAATGTGGGCTTTAAAATATTAAATTAAATTTACATTAGCTAATTTCTTTACTGTTTCATTATGGAACTTGCAAGAAGTTGGAACCTCAATTAGTTTTTAAAACTCCTTTCAGACCTGAATTAAGGCCACTATTGGAATAATATACTTTCTTGCACTTTTGAGCTCTTTTCCTATTCTATTTTAAGTTTTTATAATCTATATATTGTTTTAATATTTTGCACAAATTTAACATATCATACCATATATTATAAATTATACATGTAATTACACAACTGAAAATAAAAAACTAACAGGTGAGAGAAGGCCTCCAATGACACTGAGCCATGTCTAATTGTGTTTATTGTAGTGTAATATGGGGCACAGTGTCACAAGAATCCCAAGAAATTACCGTAGAAGCAATTGAAAATGCAATGTCCATTGGAATGGATGTGAGATCTGAAAGGGTTAAGGAAAAGAACTCAGTAAATAATTATTTTCTCAAAGTTCTCTCTTTCTTATCTTCTCTGGAAACCTAGAGGAATCACAGACTTCCAATGCATCATCAGATGATTTGCCATGTGGATGAAATGTGATCATAACTGCTGTTCAGGAAAGTCTTTAAGATGAATATTTATATTTATTATATTATAGATATAATTAATTGCCTCTATAAAGGTCTATATTTATGTAAGGCATTATATTATAAATATAAATATATATTACAAATCAATTAGGGCCGCACTGATCTATCAACAATCACTGATATGGGCCACCAATATTGCACCATTGGCCATTGGTAGGGTTTCAAGCTGCCAATGCTGATGTCCAAAGGTGGGGCAAAATAATAAAAAAATTATGCAGATGTGTTAATGTGACAAGGCGCCAGCCCTCCTGACTCACTGCGAGTCACTCCTCCATGCCTCTCCCAGACAAAATTAATGATCCAATTATATTTCAGCCCAATTGTAGTAACTGGCAGGGGAAAATAGCAGTAAAAAAGGAAAATCATTGCTCCTACATTTATGCAATGCATTAGCAAGAGATGTGCAGTTAACCCTAATCCGGGCAAGGTGAGTCCGCTGGACTCACTACGACATATTTCAGTCTATTACTGTCATTATTTTTTTAAACTATCAGGACCATTGAATAAATTGTCTGTATTATTTTAGTTACAGTACTGTTATTTATAAGAATACATACTGTAACCGCAGCAAACGGCCTTATTTTACATGAGTCTAACAGACTCACCTTGCCCGGAATAGGTTGTAAAAAAGCTTGCCCAGATGAGGGTTAAATGCTCTTAGCAGCAGCAACAGGTCACAAGCCTACTATTGACAGACACAGACAGGCAGGATAGGACTAAAAGTGGTCTCTACTGTTTTCAGGAGACCTGCTGAGTGTATTGCAAGGCTTCCAAATAGGCCTATTTGAATTCTTATGTGATTTCATGCTACTTTCTTCTATCCATAGACCAAAATCAGCTTTGCACCAGCACGAGCTGATGGGCATGAAATCAAAGTCAGCCATCGATTTGTTGGTCAAATGAAGGCATCAGTACAGCCCTAAAATTAATATAAAGATGATAAAATTCTTGAAAATTGGCAGTTCCAAATGGAACCTATGGGCATGAAAGGGTTGACATCAGACCATTGGCTAGTGATTTGTATACCTAAGTTTTGGGATCCACTAAGGCCTAGGTTCTTTGCGTGAACACCAGCAATGTCTATGATCACAAAAAGCATGAAGGCTATGGTGGTGGCATAGGCCAAGATTGTTACATTAAATTAGGGATTTTAGATGACGTTTCCAATCTCTCTTGGGCGAGTGACTCGGTGGGTAATGAACTAGGCTCCCATGGCCCAAGGTTTGAACCTAGCTGAGTCAGTTGCATATTTCCAAGCTTGAGTAGGGTGACCCCTTAGCACAGAACTCTCCCATCTCTTGAAGAGGATGTTAAAGAACCCTGGTATTGAAGGTCGAACCCAAGTGGCTTATCCCCAGAGTAACCGCTTGGCCTAAATTGAACTGACAGTATGAGGGGGTGGAGGGTTAGCTGGTTCTCCTGAGTTGTACCTCCCATCCCCAGCCCAAAGGGGGAAAAATGTTAACATTGTGTAGCTGAATACGTTCTTGTTTGAAGAAGACAAGGCATTTAGGCAAGAATTTAGGTGTTTTCAACCTTCCTATGAGAAAAATGAGCGAATATCCATTGCTCACTATACATGCTTAGCATTTGGCTCATGTCAGATGTCTGTTTGATATAGGTTATTGGCCAGTCATATATCGTATTAGACCGATATATTGGTTTCACCCAATATTGGCCAATAACAATACTGATAAAATATTATTGCATCTCTGCTTAAAAGAAATATGCATTCTGCCTCAATAAAAACGCAAGGGAAGAAACTCCTCAATGTTTTGACTGCATTGTCTTCTACATGGGGAAAGGGCTCACCGCAAGAGAAACAAATAGAAGTTTAGGGAATATAGAGTCCCATCACTCTACCTAATAATAAAGACTCTTATATGGAGGATATATGAAGTTGTCTGATCACCACACCTTTTGAGAAACCCTGGTTGGTAGTGTGCCAAGAGAGAAGGGGAACATTTTGGCTGTCAAGTCAACCAATATGCAACATGTATAAAACTCTCTGGGAAGCACTGTACAGGATATGGCAAGAAAAAAAGACCAACAACTTTCAACCTCAATATCTTCCCTCCCAATAAAGTTATTTTTGCAAAACTTTAACATTGCATAGATGAGTATGTTTTCGATTGATACTTTAAATTTCACCCAAATTTATTGTGCTGAAGTAATTATATAAGCAATTATTGAAAAGAAGTTAGACATTGAGAATGGACAAGAGCTCCTGCTGGTAGTGCCTACCCTCCTGCTTTGCCAACTCCTAAGGATGGGGCTTGAGTATGTCCTCCACTCCACTACCAGCAGGAACTAAACAGGGCAGATAACATTTGACTGCCATATTCCCCCAATCTGTCCCCTCCAGATTAGTTTCTTTGGGGATACTTGAAGGGGAGAGTGTATGCCAATAACCCTCAAACCCTTGGAGCATTGAAAAATAACATTCAAAGAGAGATTAGGCAAATTTATAACAGGAGAAATGTTAGACAGGGTAATTGATAAATTCAAAGTCTGAGTTGCAGCAGTGATCAAGCACTGAGGTGCCTGGATTGAACATATGGTGAGATACTGAAATTGAGTGTGCAATATGTAACACATATTCATGTCGTTTTAATAAATAAAATTCTAGGTGTTTTTTACATTCCAGTGAAAGAATTATTGTAATATCTCAAAAACTATCATTTTCAAGGATATTCAAAATAGGGGACTTGCTTTGGGTCACCATGTATTACTCAAGCCACCATCCAATCTTTTAAAAATGAAGTAGTTGCCACAAAGGACAGTTGATATTTTTCCAGATGTTACCTTAATGCAAGCCTTCATGCCACTACATCCCTCACTTTCACCTTAACATTTAACATTCACCCATCCATTTCTCACAGCTTCTGTTGAAGCTTGCACCATATATCCTCTCCACTTTTGAAGCCTATTTCAGCAAATACATTTTACTTCTTTGCTCCTCCAATTATCATATGGAGACCTTACCACACCTTACCTTATCATGCATAATATTTTTTGTATTCATTTCACCCAGCTGTATCTCATCCTATAGCCACCATTTAAGCATATACTTTGATCCTTTTAAGTGATTTGAGATAAAATCAAAACTGGTGATACTATCATGTCATGCAGGCATTCCATGAACTAAAATGAACCTGGATGCTGAAGATAAAAATGTTCTCTCGAGGGGAAGAGAGGACTGCTGAGAGACCATTGAGGAAGTGCTGATACAATGGGCCAAGGAATGTCTCTGTATCGATGTCTTTCAACCTCACAGTGACAGAGTTGAAGAGCATTGACTCGGTCACCATGTTCACTTGCAATGACAGGTCAGCTTCCACCATATTAAGCCCATCTGAAATAATGGAAAAAGGAGATATGGATCACAAACACTTCTAGTAAATTCAGCTGCATCATGCATGTTTTCATACACCTAGTTGTTTTGATTCATGATGTGACCAGCTTGGTCAGGCTGCAAGTGGAAAAGGTTAAAACATCATATTCATGCAATGTATGAGGCATACCAAATTGAACACTCCTTGAAGCTGATGAACAAGGATAAGAAAATAAAAAGGACATGGCTCTATTCACATCCTCTGTTTGAAGGCTAGCAGCAGCTAGCCTTAGTGAAACAGCACCAAATCTACAAAACTCTTGTTTTCAAGGCTCTCCAAGTGTCACTTTGGGGAAAGGCTGCTTGGCATGAATTACATTAAAATATTATTCAAATTAAGCATTTACTTTCAACTATGAACAAGCATTTGTAACTATAAAACCATGTCACATGAGTACATTAACACTTTCGATCCAACGATGTAACTATACATCCAGTCCTAATCACCATTGGACGACGGTGGACATAATATGTCCTTTTAAATTTTTCTAATATTGAAATAATTTAACGTAATAAAATAAAGAACTTACACTTCAATTTTCAAAACAGAGCAAGTCTCCATCATTTTGTGTTTAGAAGTTATGTATTTTTTGATAGACCTCAAAATAACCTCTGTCACCAACCCTCCAGAGTGAAAGTATTAAGGAAGGGGTGATTGAGTGGTATACCCAGGCTAGGTTTTAAAACCCTTGCAAACCTGTGAATGAGGTTTGTGGGAACAAAGACATGCAGGTGGGCAGCCCACTCAGTTTGCTGGCATATTCATCTTCGAAAATACAAATTTGTTGCCTCAGGTTTGCAGGAAAAATTTTTTTTTTTCCTACACTGGGTATACCTGTAAACTCTGGGCATCGACTATCCCAGTATCTGTTAAGTAGGATAGTAAAAACAAGTCATTTGCCTTGTGCATCCTTTCAAGGCAGGGATCCCTCACCTGATACAGACAAGTGCATGCTAGCACGGATGGGAACATCTGTGTTCAAGGATGGGGACAGCCGGATGTCTCCTGTTGACTCATTGATGAAAAGCAAATCTGCCTTGTTTCCACTGAGAATCTGATACATCAACTGGTTGACAAGGGAGAAAAAACAAATTAAATAGACATGAAAATATTTTTAGAATATAAGTGAACTCTTACAAGCTTGTTTTTTTCCACTCACATGGTCTGACACATCAGCATCCATTGCAGGGACCTTCCCTATGGCTTCTGTGGGAAACTGATTTGGATAGTTGTTGAAGATGATGTGGAAATCCTGTAGGAGGGGTGGGTTGTCATTTGTGTCCTGCACGTGAACAATGACTTTTACATCAGTTCGAAGGGGTGGAGATGATGCACGGACCATGAGCTCATATTCTGTCCTTCCTGATTCATAATCTAGTTCAATGCGTGTGTGAAGCTCAGCTCCTTGTTGATTAGGGAGTCTTACCAGGGAGAAACTGGATGCATCATTCCCCCCAATCACTGAGTACTCAACTTTTGCATTTGCTCCTTCATCTGGATCGATGGCTTCAATCATACCAACCAGGGTCCCAACAGGACTGTTTTCTTTCACATAAAAATCAAGTCTGTCACCAGAAAACAAGGGAGGTGAATCATTAACATCCTCAATGTTGATTGTTACTGCCACAGATGAGGACATTGAAGGCCTTCCATTGTCAATGGCATAAGCCAGTAAGCTGTACACAGGAGTGCTTTCTCTGTCCAGTCCCTTCCTTGTTCGAATGATACCAGAGATGGGATCAATTCCAAACACTCCATTCTCATTTCCTTCACCATCCAGATCATACTTGAACTTTCCATTTTCTCCGATGTCAGCATCTTTTGCTTCTACAATTAGTATACTGGTCCCAACAGGAGCTGCTTCAGAGACATCTGCTTGGTATGATGCAAGCAAGAACTGAGGAGCATTGTCATTCACATCTGCCACTGAGACTTCAATGTCAGATATATCAGATAATGGAGGGATACCCTTGTCTGTAGCAGTCACACTTATTAAGTACCCACCACGAAGTTCCCGATCCAGTGGAACTGATGTAGTGATTGCTCCCGTGTTGGGGTTAATAGAAAAAGCTTCTGCATCATCCCCACTAAGAGAGTATGAGATACGTGCATTGTCGCCATCATCTTCATCATTTGCACTCACCATGAGGATTGTACTACCAACTGGTGTGTCTTCAAATACTTCAACAATGTATGGTGTTCCCTCAAACACAGGAGCATGTGTGTTGGCATCACTGACATTCAGATAGAGTGTGGCAGTGTCCATACGACCACCAGAATCAGTTGCTGTGATGGTCAAAATGAAACGCCTCTCCTGCTTGAAATTCAGAGGTTGTGCTATTGTCAGCAATCCTTCTCCATTATGTGATGATATGCTGAATCGCCCTCGGTTGTTCCCACTAATGATATCATAATGAATTCGAGAATTTTCATCATTGTCTGTAGCTGAAACAGTCAAGATGGGGGTTCCAGGGGGGCTATCTTCAGTGATTTGGGCTTCATAAATCTTGGACGAGAACTTGGGGTCATTATCATTTTCATCTTGAATGGTGATGGTCACCTGTGCTGATGCTCTCCTTGGTGGCTCACCACCATCTTCTGCAATCACCTACATAAATCAATCAAGTTCAAATCTCACAAATGATAGAGCTAATATTACTTCGCCATAACTAGAGGGTTATTTGAAGACATTTGCCAAAATAAGACCTGAATCAAGTCTATGACCAACATATTACTGCTTCATACCTTCAACCAAAAGCATATGAGTTTGGAAAATGAAAGAATGATCATACCAGGAACTGATACAAGTGTTTCTCCTCCCTGTCAACACTCCTTACTGTTGTAATCCATCCACTTTTCCTGTCTATAGTGAAGGGGGCATTTGATGGCAAATTCTCCAGATAGTAAGAAAGGGCAGCATTCACACCAGAGTCTTCATCAAATGCTTGCACTTGTACAATACTATAACCTGCAAAGAGAAATCACCCAATGGTTGCATCACAAGTAGAAGTCATATGAAGGCTTGCAATAATGAGAAATCATTAATTTCCTCCTCAGTTGAGACAATAGGGCAAAAACCCACCAGAATTTCCCTTCATAGAAATGGGAAAATTTGAGGAATGAATTTTAAAAAAAGAAGCCATGATACCAATAAGTTCATGATCTTTAAGGTGATTTGATCATTTTTTAAATCATTCCATGGTCAAGTTTTCTAAACAAATTTTAGTTATTTTCTCTTGAGAACATATCCTCATTGGACTAGGTTGTCAAGTGCAAGAAGCTCTTTTGGTTAGTAAATACATCCCAGCATTATATTTCCTCATCTAACCTCTGTAACCTATGTCCTACCACACATTTTACTGCATTCTTTTATAAATGAAATTTAACACTTAGACAAATCTAATGTAACATGTAAACCAAAATGTTAGCTAAAATGAGGTAGTGGCATGCTAGTAGGAAAGTCATTAATTACTTTACAAACATACACAAGCAAGAATGAATGAACACTTAGGGAGATAGCAAGAGGTCCAGAATCAGTTTCTGGAGAAAAAAAAAGGGGAGAAAATCTCTCTTCAAAACAAAAATGAAGATGCAGATGGAATGCATAATTTTAATTAGATTAATATATATTGCAGGAAAGCCAAAGTACTTCATCAAGAATGGAGGTGCTACCAAACTGAAGTCCACCTAATATTCGATATACCAATAAACTGATATAAAAAAGCTAATATCAACACCAATAACTGATAATTGCATAACTTATTTAATAAGTCATATAATACATAAAATAATACATGCTTTGCAAAAAGAACTGATCTGTTCTGACAATGGTCCATAAGTACCCCAGAGGGGCATAAGTTCAGGATTTAACCACATTCTGGAGTTAATTGGGCTTAATCCTGCAAAGCTTATAACTTAGGGCCACGTGTGAGAACCTAAGTTGAAGTTAATCTTACATCTAATCAGACTAGATAGCTAAATGTGTTACTTGAACTAAGCTGGGAGAGTTTTCAGCTGGACTTGAATGAAATTATGGTTTGGAAATCCTGCTCAATAAAGCATTACTCCAGGCAAAAAGGCATTTTTGCTTGGGAACCTAGTAATTACTGAAAAGATGTGCTGTTTGGAAGACAAAGCCTGAGTGAATTTGAGAGATCTGCTAATGTACTCAATCACTACATGCACAATGAAGTTAAGCAGATGAGAAACTACGAAAGCTAACGTTCCACCACAGCTTCTTAAAGTCCATTTTTAGTAAAGCATCAAAATCAGGAATATTTCCATGCTATTAAAATCCATGAACCTTGTGTAGATGTTCTTACACCCAGGCAGGCTAGGAAAACCCTTGTGAACCTGCGAACAAGGTTCACAAGAAGAGAGATGTATGGGTGAGCAGCCACATGCATATTCTTCCCAGGAAATTTCAATTTGTTGCCTCAGGTTCATGGGAAAATTTTTTTTTTTACACTTCACCCAGGTACATATCTAACTCAGTCCTTGTGAGGTGAGGAAATGTCTTCTAAATTTCAGTAATTTTTATTACCTTTCTACTTCATCTGTCATGGATATCAGTGAACCACTGTTATGCACAAGTTTTCAGATCTTGACTGAGAGTCCATGATTATGGTCTAGACAACTACCCTATATTTCTCCATAGGCATACCATCAGGGGGCTACTTTATATATCAGTAAACTTACAAACTTGTTACTATCTTGAAAACACTAGCTCTTCCATGCTCAACCAAAGACACTAGCTATACTGGATCATTTGGCGACCAGGTCTGTAGGGATGAGTTCATGCTCACAGTCCATTGGACAATGTTCAAGCAACAACTAGTTAATTTCAAAAATGATTCTGTATTCCAATTGCATGCTGTATAATTCCATGTGGTCTAGTGGGCAGGATGCTCAATTTCACCCAATAAGTCTGGGTTTGACCTAGCAAATGAGATGACACCATAACGGGTAGAAATGCCCATTGACATAACTACAAAGACCTTGAACCTAGTGGAAGCCATAATATGTCATTGGTTTTTTTTCAACTTGATCTGCTATAAGGGAAGATCAGCATGACATCTCCCATAGGGATGACCCTCCCCTCACTATTGATTCAATTCCTTGCAAGCAAAAGTAGCCATCATGAATATGCCAAATAGAACAGCTTCCCCTTGTGCTATTCATCCATGTGGATTTCCTTACCTCCCATTTATCTTCCCATCAGCCAAAATATACCACAATAGTGTTTCTGCAAATCTTGTCCAAAGGCTATGAACATGAAGGGATCAGGAGCATTGGATCTTAAATTTCTGTCACTTTCACTTATGATTTTCCTCCCATTCTGTCTCTGCAAGCTCTCTTTTGTTGGAGAAGACAAAATACATCAAAGAGAGGAATGGTTCAGAAGTTGAATCTTTCATCCATAGCATCCATCTGTTCCCATCTAGATTTCAGCATGATGTTAACTAGTTATTTCAAATTTAATTTCCAGGTAAAATATGGAGTTCAGAAGGACATCATGGATGTCAATTCATCATTTTCCCCAGATCAACATGTAACCAATAACATCCATAGCTCATACACATCACTTTCAAGCAGGACGGTATGGCATTAAATGCAATTTCATTGATAATAAGAGCCAGTTTTAGACTGTGATAGTGATTGCTGACTATGAAATGTTGATGACAGCCTGTTTTTACCACTGGATTCCTTTAACCCTTCAAGCAGTTTTCACGTACACTGAACGTTTATCACTTAGGTCAGGTCAAAACTCAGTGCTTGAAGGGTTAAAAAAAAAAATACTTATATTCAAAATGATTTGAGACCCATGCTATAAGTTTATCTAATTATGAGCTCAAAAATGCCAAAATAAACCTAGAAGAGCCTAAAATAACTTAAAAACCCAAGTGGATCAGTTAATACCAATTTTGAACAAGTTTTACCCAATGAATCCAATAATTGGTCAACAATGTGGTCTGGGAGCCATACATATATTTTATACTTACCAACAGGTACATTCTCACGAAGAGACTCTTGAAAGGTATTGGCATAAAATCTTGGTGAATGATCATTGACATCTTCAACATCAATCAAGACACCAGTTGTGTTTGCCTTGCTTGGACTTCCCCCATCTGAAAATCAAAGATATTTTAAGCAAGATATCAAGAAGAAATCTAAGAAAAACTAAGTAGACTTGAGGAAAGCTTGCAGTCATTCTTACCTTGGGCTCTTACAACAAGCCTGTGTTTCTTCGTGGTTTCATAATCCAATGGCCCAACAAGTCTGATCTCACCTGATTCAGAGTCCATGGAAAAGGTCTGTCCAACATTTCCTCCAATCAGATAATACCTCAGGTCCCCATTCTTCCCATCATCCTTATCTTTTGCTCTGAAAAGCAGAACACGCTTAAGCACAATCTGAAATTACTCTTAGAAAAACATCATGTAGGCCTATAACTTAGGTGAACTTCTAAAAGGTCATAAACAAAAACCTCACTCATTCTTATATTATTTCTCATTAAAGCCATTTTCACTGACCTGATGGTTGCAACAATGGGCTTTTCAATCCATGAAGTATTTTCTAGAATGGTGATGGACTCAGGTACAGTTAAAAATTCTGGATAATTATCATTCTCATCCAATACTGTTATGCGTAGTTGAGTAGTAGAAGACTTCCGATCTGCAGGAGGTCCCTGGTCTGTAGCAACAATTGTCAGTTCATAAGATTCTACCAATTCTCGGTCCAATGGTAAACGGGTTGTCACAGTTCCACTTGATGGATCAACTTGGAAGTATGTGTTGGCATGGAGGAAAGAGTATATAATCTGGGAATTTGGCCCCACATCATTGTCAATAGCCCTGACCCGAAGGACAGTGGCACCCACATCCAAATTTTCACTTACACTTGCCTTGTAGACAGACTGTTCAAATTGTGGCTCATGATCATTCTCATCTTGCACATCCACTCTAACAGTACTTGTTGCACTGGTCTTTGGCATATTCTTATCGTAGGCAGTCACACGAAGAAAATGCACTGGGATAAGTTCCCTATCAAGTTTTGCACTAGTTGTAATGGTCCCAGACTGAGAGTCGATGGTAAACATTGATTGGGAACGAGCATCAAGAAGGGCAACCATGGAGTATCTCATTGTGGCACTGTTGGGAGCATTAACAGACACTGTTGTAACAGGATAGCCTGAATCTCTCTCCTCTGGAATGTCTACTACATACATTGGGACTGGGAAATCCAGTTTCTGAGGAGATGCTGCACGTCGAGCTCTCTTTACTCCTAAGTTAGACGACTGCTGGAAGAAGATGCGTAAAGTATGTTGTTGACTTGGGATAAGTTCATGTTTTGGGCATACAAGATGAGCGTGGATCACAACATGGAGCAGGTCATCACCCAGCCAGGGAATTCCTGTTTCATCCCAGAGAAGATTGTTTCCATCCAGGAGAGTCATTGAGTTTGCTGAATCTTGAGTGAAGGAGACTGAGCAAGTTTCTGAGATCAGTTGAGGAATCAAATCCAACAAGTCTATGATGTGATGTCTTTGTGTCATCCTTCCTTGGCTGAGAAGTACAGTTGCAAGTGTGGAATCGTCTGAATAAGATGAGATCGGAATTTCACCCTTTCTATCCACGTGCAGAGGGACAGAAACATACAAGATTCTGTCAGAGTCCTTTTTCCTCCACGACTGCAGTCGGAAATAACAATGCGATTGACTGCATCCAATGAGTCCATTCTCATGCTTAACTCTTCCATTTTCCTTTACCTCGTAAATGCGACCACTCGAGGGAAGGATTGCTGAAAATTTCGGGGCTCTTATCACGTAACTTGTAACAAGTCCGAAGAGGCGTAAAAGAAGGAAGGAGACACAAGCATTCCTCAGCAACATTGTCAGTGTCCGCCCCTAGCTATATGGAAAAAATGGATACACCATACGCCACAACTGAGAGCGTCCTCTTCCACAATGAGCACTCTCACAGAATTCCGAATTCACTTGAGAAGTGTGGAGGTTCAGGCCTGATGCTAGAGCTTTACCCTGCCTTAAGTATAACTTCATCTTCTCCGGGACGCCATAAAAATCGCCACGGTCCAGCAACATATGCGTTAGAGTCCTAAACGGGTTGCGGGCTGACCAGATTGGCCCGACCCGAGACGAACCCAGAGACCGCTTTGGGCCAAAAGGAGTTCGTCAAGTTTTAGCTCCAAAAACTGAACTTTATGGTGTCGCTCGTTGGATCCAATGCCGTTGGATCTAATGCCTAAATTCAGTACCGATTTCCTGCCCGTATGACATGGAATACCTCGCTCGACAAGATGTACATTACATACATGTTTATATACACGGTGATCCAAAAAAAAAAACCAAAGCTATCTTCTTCGGTGAGCTGTCAATCTGATTGTAGGCTGAAAATTCTAAGGAAGTTTAGTAAGCATATAGGGTGACTCAATTGTGATTTGTGTGCCGAATTTCACCTCAAATTTTCAAAAACGGTGAGAATGGTATTTAATTTACTTTTAAATTTACAAAAAAAGAAAAAATTTTCATTTATTTTATTGAAACTTGAAATTTCACCACCAACTAAATTTATCAACTTTTCAGATGACATATCCCACTCTTTGATCGATGTTTTGTCTATATAATATCCTTTTTGGGGGGGGGGGGGGGGGGGGGGGGGGGGGTATTTTCAGCAATCCTTCCCTCGAGTGGTCGCATTTACGAGGTAAAGGAAAATGGAAGAGTTAAGCATGAGAATGGACTCATTGGATGCAGTCAATCGCATTGTTATTTCCGACTGCAGTCGTGGAGGGGGGGGGGAATTCACTCATCATTTTCCTTCCATCATACCTTTTTTCAAATCGCAAGTTTTTTTTTAATAAGAGAAAGACCTTCGTAATTTATATTAGCATTTTGACAAAGCACTTTCATCTGAAGCGCGTAAAGATTTTTAGATTTAGGGTGGATTTTTTAACTGAGCACTATCCGAAAATGCAGCTTTATTTATCGGATTTATTATGCATTTTTTTCTGAAATAAAGCTGCATTATCGGATAATATTCTGTTCAAAAATCCACCCTTAAATTTTTTGTAGACATTTAGAAATTCTGATTAATATTCGGCGAGCTAGCCCACCCGTGCGGGAGTTATAAATAGAAACTTAATACATTGTATCAAATATGGCCATACATGGGCTCTTTATTTAAAACATTTATGACACAAAAATATCCATAAATGTCTACATCATGTTTTGGCCATATAAAGTTCCTCAACTCCTTCCAGCCAAGTTTGGCGGCGTATATGACCAAATATGTTCAAACACATCCTGTACGTACGACTGCATTTGTTACTTTGGTACTTTTGGTAGGCTTTATTTATTTGACCTTCGCCTAGCCTAGCTTATTAATTTCCTTAGCTTAATGCGGTGGGCGATCATGTATTCTATGAATACAGACTTCAAGTTGATATTGATACTTTCGAGAATACATTTTTTCATGGGTCATCAGAATATAATTGCAGCCAGCAGCGTAGCATCGAGGGGGGAGGGGGGGGGGGCAGGGGTGGCACTTGCCCCCCACTTTTCAAGACAATTAGCCAAAAAATAATAATAAATATGGAAATGTGATGGGCTTGAAATAAGCCTGGGGGAAAGAACAAGCTTTAAAAAGGGGTCCGAAGCTGCATTAGAGGGGATTCCACGCCAGACAGTTACGCGGAGAGGTTGCGCCTGAGAATTCCAGACCGGTCGGACACCCAGAACAGTTGTGCCAAGAGAAGACGAGCAATACAAGCCTTCTAGAGACTACCCGCCAGTGAGGGGCATACTCGTCCTGACTTCCTTTAACACACCCCAGGACGTGAGAAGTGCATTGCCTCCATATCTATATGGTTCTTAATTTTGTTAAATTACTCTGTTGATGTTATAATAACCTGTGATTAAAAGGCTCAGGGTGTATAGTGACTGACTCGAATCCTTCTTTGTTATAAAGTACTAAGGCCGTGGGCCAGAGTGATCGAGACCGTCTGGGTCCGAATCACCCGCAAGCACTTACTTCCTCCAACCTTATTGCACAGGGATCGGTATCATATAAACATAATAATTTGCCAGCCTCCAAAGAGTAATAGTAAAAAGCACACACCAAACCTGTGACAGAAAGATCCATGAAAAAGCATAACAGTATCTCAGAGTTCCTGTGCCCCCTCACCACTTTTTCCATCCACGCTAAGCTAATGATTGCAGCTCTCATATTTTTAGAGCCAACGAGCTCACTTTGGCACACAAAAGCCCAATTGAGTCACCCTATATGCCTACTGAATTTCATTAGAATCGCCAGTCTACAGTAACATTGACTGCTCACCAAAAATGACTTTTTTTTTTTGGACCACCCTGTATACCGAACCTGCGACATCACTGCCTAGGGATTGTGTCCCATGGGGGATGGGATGTATCCCCACATTCCAAATTCGATATTTACCTGAATTGCTCGACCTTTGACGGAAGGCATCATAATGTTAACCCCCCCCTCTTTGATCTCACTCCGAGTGTGGTATTATTTCACTTACAGTCAACTTCAACATTGCCCCACTTACCGCCTTGACACTGAACTTTTCAATGCAGATTTGGTCAGCGAAAGATTAACATTGAGACTGCGTTCGCTTGAGAGAGGTACCCCAGGCACAGAGACAGTTGGCCATAGGCGGTCCAGGCGCCATCCTGGAGGAGGTGGAAACGTGGCGGCAAGTGGAATATGCAGTAGATGGCGGGATCAGATCCAGTACCAAGAGTCCCTGCTAGATGGTACTCATGTTCCCTGCAACCTTCAAATGCAATTAAGTACCTGCCTTCCTAAATTTACAAGAGTTTCCTCCCCTTTTTCCTCTTTTAAAAATATGAGGAAAGCATGGAATCGTGATGTTTTGATAGCAATTTATGATTTAGGGAATTGTTATTTGCTGAAGTACGGGACTTCAGGAGTGTACGATAATAAGGAAGGATTTAGAATGAATAACCTTGTATTGCTCTGAAAATCGCGCTTGCTGGAATATTTAATATTCCTAGATTCCTATTTGTATCTAAATTGTTCCGCATTGAACGTGGAAGAATACAGGATAGTCTGGGCACCCACCTAAGTGGAGTTGAGGTGCATTGGATAAGCATGGAGGCATTAGGTCCCTTTCCAACGGTTAGTACACAAAGAACGAGCTATCTGGTAATGTGCTGGCCTCCTAGCGGTCCGGAAAGTTAAAGTCTTCGATACCGTTCCTCACAAGAGATTGCAGGTTAAATCGGAGGCGCACGGTATCCAGGGTAGGACGAGTGACTGTATTAACAGCTGGTTGACGGGTGATGGCAAATGGGAAAGTGTCGACTGTGGTCGAGGTCGCGAGCGGTGTTCCTCTGGTTCCTCTAGGACCGCTTCTTTTTCTGGTCTACATTGACGAATCAGATCAAGGCCTAAAGGGTTCGATCAACAAATTTTCCGACGATACCAAAATAGGTTTTTCTGTCAGGGGAGAAGCGGATAGGACGAGAGCCGAACAACATTTAAGACTCTTGGACAAGTGGAGCAAGAAATAGCTCATGATGTATAATAACAGTAAGTGTAAGGTTCTTCACATCGGTCATAATAACGATAGGCCTCTGAACGAGTTTGGAGTAGATAAACTGGATGAAGCAAGCGGAGAGGGGAACCTTGTGATTACGATTGATGAACTCAAATTTTCCTCGCACGCGCAAGCGACGATAGCAAAATGCGGTAGGACTCAAGGCTTTATCCGTCGCGTCGCCAGTAGGAGCTCGCGTGAATTCTCCCGTTGTATGAGGCACTATTAAGACCCCTTTTTAAGTATTGCATTCAATTTCGGAGGCCTTCGAATAAGAGCGATTTGGCGGCGCTCGAGGGGGTCCAGAGAAGGACTACGCGAGTGATCAAGGAGGTTAGGGGGCTTCAGTATGAGAAGCGTTTAGAAGTGTTGGGATTGTGCACGCTCGAAAGAAGGTTAACGAGAAGGATCTCATCCAGGGTTTCAAGAGCTTTAAGAGGAGGCTAGTTGACTTCAATCAAAAGTTTCACAAACATACCCATTTGATTAAATTTATTTTGAGGAGAAAACCGCGATGTTTTGGGTAAATTCCTTCCTCTCAGGAGTCCTATGTCCCATTTCTTGTAGAGAGGAAATGCTAGTACGACATGTGCCTTGGATTGGTTGTGGTAGCATAGGAGCTTGGAACAGTCTTGTTACGGTAAGGCAGGACCGTGAAGTTCAGTTAGCAATCGCGTTTTGGAGCGGGCACTGACCATGACTCAATGCTTGTCAATTGGGCCGGTTTCATCCAAACTAACCGTGTAGGACTCTAAAATATGCCGTAGCGTGACTGCTGGCAATCTCAGAGCAACGGACGATACAAGTTTAAGCACAGTCTTGGTAGGACTTTGAACTGTTCAAACCACAAATTTATATTATATATATATATTAGTGGGATATCATTTCTTGCAATATTCCGGAGAAAAAGAATCCTTGCAATAGCCTCTCAAAAGGAAACCAAACTCTACAGGAAACAACACTGATCCCAGTGTTCGCAAGATGGCGTTGTCCTGGCGTTAGTACATCTATGGAACATCGAAAATCCTCAATTTAATCGGCTTTATGGGTTTATATGTTTTCATTGCAAAAATAGCAAATCTGCCTGGATGCCAACTTCAGTGAGTCTCGTGTATAGAGATAAAATATTACAGGAGTGTACAAGGTAGCAAAGGTTGAGGAGCAGGGCAAAATGCACTGGATGAAAACAATGGGAGCGTGTAGATCCATGGCATTGTCGCTACTACTCCCTTCATTTCCCTTCCACTTTTCCCTGCCCTGACAGTGAGAGCTGGTAGCTCATTGGCTTATGACTTGAATGCCAATAGTAAATATTTTGGGTTCAATTCCTGTTCTTGCTGTCTTTAATAGGTTTTCAGTCATTTCAACTAGATATTATGCTCTCTTGATATATATGTGTGAAATATAAGGAAGGTGTCCAAAACAAATATGCATTGTGGGGGTTGTCCAGGACAGAGTCAATTTTTAAAACAAGACTACATCAAGAGCAGGAACATTAAGAGGTTGCGATAGGCTTACTCATTGTTCCAGGGACTCCATAGAAAGCCTATAAATTTGTAAATGCACTTTCATAGTATCTGGAATGTTAAATGCTCCTCTTGGCAACAACCAGTCAGTATTTGTTGGGTCATATATGAAAAGCCATATGAAAAGGCAGAAATGTACATAGATAGCTGTTAAGCTATCTGTCTACATTTCTTATTCCTTAATTTCTGTTCTCCCTGTTACTATGGAATGGGAGCTAGCTTTCCTCTTGCAAGAGATGTAACAAAGAAAAGAAGGTGCTTTGTGGTTAACTCTAGGAAGGACTACAGTGATGTACAAATGAGAATTTGCACCACCTTTAAGAGAGGGGCTCCAAAGGCCAAATTTCATTTCCATCATGGGGGATATGCTCCCACCTCCTTGAATGTGCCCAAGAAATAATGTTGCACTACATCTAGGGTGGTTTGAACTCATGCAATTTACTGTTAAAAGCACTCAAGAACTGGGAGGGCCAGCATAGATGCAGGGTGTCTGGTCTTCTCTTCCTCAATGTCATCATCAACCATTTGTGATTACCATCACATGTTTGTAACTTTTCATGATTGCAAGTAGATGAGCAAAGCTCATTGCACTCCTTTTCATGCTTGCAATGAATACAAGGCTAGTCACCATTATCTTCCTTGCCATTTGAGTAGTCATCTACATTTGCTCTTTCTAGGCTTACCTCATTTGTTAATATTTGATACTGCATTGATCCCAGTTTTGAGATATATGGAACTCTGAAGAAAAAATAAACATGTACTCTTCATGCAAACACACCATTGAGAGCACTTCAAGTTCTGTTTGTTAAGTAAAAAAACTTGATTCATTAGTACCTTTGCTACAGCAATAATAACATATCTTTATTTTGTCTTTGATTAGGCCTAGCCTAGGCCCTTTTCCCATGATGGGTGTGTTGCAATGATGGAAAATTGCAAATAGTTGAAGTGAAAGTTGGGAACTGTTGATCATTTATAATTTGTGTGGTAGGTGGTATTTATACCACCACAAAAGCTGTTCGTGCTGGCTAACCAAGTTCAAGCCAAGATGGCTACAAGTCGGAAGCTTCAAGGTGAGCTGATAATTTGATTCATCCTATCCTGTAAGTTGCTTAGCTTGAAGTTCATTGCTGATGGTGAATTCCATATGATGAGAAATGGTTATTTTACAGGAGAGATAGAAAGATGCTTGAAGAAAGTATCTGAGGGTGTGGAGATCTTTGAAGACACCTGGCAGAAGGTCCATAATGCTGCTAATGCCAATCAAAAGGAAAAGTATGAAGCTGATCTCAAGAAGGAAATCAAGAAGCTTCAACGACTCCGGGATCAGATCAAGTCATGGATTGCCTCAGGGGAAATCAAGGACAAGAGCATCCTTCTTGACAATCGCAAGCTCATAGAAACAGTATGTTCTCATCAAGATGCTTTAATTGGATTTTCAACATACCAGCATGCATTCATCCTGAGATCTTGGATGAAATTCTATCCATTTCAAGGTAAATTCATTGAAACTGAGGAATCAGCAAATCAAAGGCAGTAGCTGAATCACACCATGAAGATACATTAATGTAAAGTAGACATAATGAAATCAGAGCAGCCTGGCTGAATCATTGTACCATCTGGTACTATTTCAGTATATCACCCTTTATTCATTTGTGTGCTGGTGCCTCCTTCCCTGCCCTGTTGAGATGAGGTTTGTTTCTCATCACTACATCTACAATAGCCATCTCATGTCTTGATTAGGCTAGAAATCAGCACTTGCAGGCATTAAATGAAATATGAACTAGGTGAGAAGTTTGACTTATGCAAATTCTAAATTACATGTATAAGTTTATGTTCCTGTGATCTGGGCTATAGAGCTAGAGGTTAAATATTCCCTTGAAGTGTCAACACTTGCATGCCTCAGAAAGATGTCTGCCAACCATCACAAGGGGAATAAATTCATTCAAGTAAAGTTTTCCCAGATGCTAAGACAGGGATGGAAGACTCCTGCTAAATAAAAAGGGACCAGTCAAAGCTAACAAGATGTGGTGTGGGATTTTGAAATGCTTCTCACAGAGTAAGAGTTTCATGTTTGCTGAATTGGGCTCATTTTGCCTTTTAGTGATTCTATTTTTATGGAAAGATACTGCTGTGATGAGATTTTGTGCCTGTGTTAATTTTGCAATTTTCATAAGGCACAAAGTGTCATAAAATAAATAAGCATGAAGTTATGTTACTGCATTTTATATATATCATCCAGATTGAAAAAATTAAATTAGTGTGAGTATTCTGCTAGTGTAATGGGCTTGAGATTGCCTGTACAAAGTTCTTTGAAATGAATGGACTTGAAATTGAGAGAAATGTTTTTTTTTTTAAACTAGGAAGCAATTCCTTATGAGAAAATTGTTGCAATTTGCAAAATCTTTTAAATGGGAGCCTATTATCCTGAGAGTAGCCCATCCATGATATCTGGCCCAATAAATTCTTTATGTATATACTGGACTGTTTCATATTTCCTCCTGCATGGAGAAAAATTATCATTCTTCAGGCTTGTGAAATCTAGGTTTCTAGGTGATTATATGGTAAAGGATAGGTCTCTGATCCTACACCATGCTTGCTGCATGATAAACATATACATTTCAAAGTACAAGTGAAGTGACCCTAAAAGTGCTTCATTGATACCCTTAAGGGAAGGTAATTTGTGAACATGTTGGGGTAAGTATAAAGCCCCCCACTCTAATTCGGAATTATTATAAGCTTTTCTCAATATGTAGGGGTGTTGAAACATACAAGGTAATGTGAGCAATTGTGAATTGTGATTTGGTATTTGGATTGTGACAAGATATTTTCATATTTCAATTCATAAAATGGAAATTTATTTTCAAGGATTAAAGATTTATTGGGATTCTTAAAGGATTTTTTGAAAGCTCTAGGAAATTCCTTATCAAAATTCTTCCATGATCATAATATTTTAATGAAGGGGAAGGAGAGGTAAATATGTGAATTTCACCTTTATTTACTTCTCTTGTCCTATGTTATCATTTTCAGCAAATGGAAAGGTTCAAGGTGGTGGAGAGGGAAACAAAAACCAAAGCATATTCAAAGGAAGGACTTGGTGCAGCTCAAAAGCTGGATCCTGCTCAAAAGGAGAGAGATGAGACCAATCAGTGGTTGGCTAGCTCTATTGATGCCTTGAATGTTCAGGTAATTGCTGATTTTCTTCCCTCAATAACTTCTGGCTTGCATTATGCTTAATTCCCCATGGTCTTTTTCATGTCCCTCATACTCCGAGCATTCCTGGAAGACTAAGATCCCATCTTGCAGCCAATGTGTAACCCCTTCTATCTCTTCTGGGGTTTTAGAAGTGAACTTTCTAGGGGTAGAGAAAATTCAGGACAAAGAGTCATTTACATCCAGTTAGTGCTATTATTCTTGGTGAGGTGTTGGTTGCATGATCTTCAATTATTATGAATGCAAAAGTGAATGTTTGAGTTACAGCTAGAACCCCTTTTGGTCATGCAATGGATACAGCATGAATTTTTGTGAGCCTGTGGTAGTTTGCAGAGTTTTGTTTCCCACTTTTCCTGAGTTTGAAGGACAGATAATGGATTGCTTTAAGAACCATGGATTGCACAATTATCGACAGGGCATGCTCAATATATTGTACTAATTAAATTACCTTTATTAATCAGAGGTGTTGGTCCCTGAAGTTTTCCTATACTTTCAGTGTTTCTTGTTCCTTTGCCCTTTGCCCATCACATGCCCACATTGGCTTTGGCCTTGGCCCATCACATAGTGCAAGTTTTTAATTTTGTAGCCTGCAGCCCCGTGACTCCAATAGCTGCAATACTTTGGTATCTGTCTTAAATGGCTGCTTTTAGCTAAAAATAAAAATACTATCAGTTTTTTTCTTCATTACATTACACTGCAATTTCTTTGTAATTTACATTATTTTGGTTTGGTTTAATAAAGACAAAGCCATTCATGCAGGTTGCTATAACTTTCAATGATACTTCCTACAACTTATCTTCCCTAATAGCATCCCCCTTTCTACTCATAAGTCTCCCTCAAATTATTTTTTGAGTATTATATGTAGAGATGCAACGATATTGAATTTTGGTCAATATCCAATATACCGATAATTCCGATATTGGAAAAGAACCAATATCGATACTGATAACCGATACTGATATCTATATATACATTTATATTTGCACATTTGAGGTAGATTTTGAACAGTGAACTATCCCATAACGCTGCTTTATTTCCAGGAAATATGTGTTTTCCCCAGAATAAAGCTGCATTATCAGATTGTTCTCTGTTCAAAAATCCACCCTCAGGCATTAACCCCTTTTTGCATCAGGCATTTTATTTCCTATGTTCCATCCTAGAACTTGCAATAAGGTGGAATAGCAATTCTTTTTCTTTTTTTTTAAAGTAGCACTCAGTTCAGAAAATGTCAAGAATGTCAAAGTTCCCTCCTTCATATGGACACCCAGACAGACATGACTGACAAATTGTTAACACATCAGATAATTTGCCATGAAGATGAAATGTGAACATAACTGCTTTTCAGGAAAATTTATAAGGCAGTCAATCATATTTATTATATTACAGAAGTTTTTATCTACAAAGATATTTATTTAATGCATTATACTATAAATATTCAAATATAAATTATAACATTATTAATATTTTTTATAAATTAAGGCTGCACTGACTTATTGACAACCACAGATTCGCCTCTGGTGTTGCACCATTGACGCCATGGCTACGGTAAGGTTGGAAGCTGTCGATGCCGAAGCCTGAAAGAGGGCAAAATGCAAAATGCAAAAAAACTACGTGAGTGTGAGCGCGGTTTGTTGCCTGTCTCGCTGAAAGCCTTCCCTGCCGTCCTTTCCCAGAAAAAAGTATCGATCAGATTATGCGAGGAGTCCTCGATTTACGCCGTTTCGATATAACGTCGCTAACATATACCCCATATACGTTGCGTCGTTCCGATATGACGTCTTAAATCGAGGACTTCCTGTATATCATTTAGTCCATGGGAAAATAGGTTTCGTTTTACGTCGTGTTTTCCGGGAACGCATCCACGACGTAAATCGAGGACTTACTGTATTTCAGCCAGATTGTAGGAACTGGGAGGAAACTAGCCGTAAAGACAGTGGAATAATTGAATCTCCTTTTATGCTGTGCATTAGCGAGTAGTGCCGGTTAAGCCCTCATATCAGCAATAGGTAACCATGACGGACGCAGACGAACAGGCTGGAAAGGTCTAAAAGTGGTCTCTATCGTTTTCAGGAGACTCATTGATTAGTATCATAAGGCTTCAAAGAGGCCCATTGAATTCGTATGCGATTTCATGTTACGTTCACAATCTATAGAGTATAAATCATCATCGGCTCCGGCACCGGTCATTGGGTACGAGTTCAAAATGCGCCATCAGTCTACCGGTCAAATGTGGCCATCGGCACAGTCCTAACATGAAAATAAAGATGATAAAATTCTTGAAAATCGGTGGTTCCAAATGGAACCTCTGGGCACGAAAGAATTGAAATCAGACTATAGTCTAGTGATTTTTGTACCAAGGTTTTGGGATCCATCTAGGCCTGGGTTCTTCGCGCTAACTAAGAGTTGAAATCAGACTATAGTCTAGTGATTTTTGTACCAAGGTTTTGGGATCCATCTAGGCCTGGGTTCTTCGCGCTAACATAAGCGATGTCTATTTTCGCAGAAAGTACGGAGTAGGCTATGGTGGTTGCATTAGGCCGAGTTAAGTAGATGACGCTTCTCATCTCTCTCTCGGGTGACTGGGTAATGAGCTTATGTTCCGTGACAGGGTGACCTGGGCTCGAACCTAGCCAAGTCAAGTGTATATTTCCTAGTTCAAGCGCCAGCGTGCTTGGGAAGGGAGTACCCGAGCACAGAGCTCTCCTATCTCTAGATGTGGGACGTTGAGGAACCGCGGCAGGGAAGGTCGAATCCCAGGGGAATCCCAATGCAAATGGGAAAAATGCTTATATTTTCAGCAGCATAATACTTTTTTTTTTTTACGGGTCATTTAGGCATTTTCAACCTTCTGCAGTGTTTTCACTTGAGTTGGACATTTTTTCACTTGACTTCGACATTCGTGCATGAGGAACGTCCCCATGAACGTGTGTTCGAGTCAAGTGGGAGTAATGGGAAATGGGAAAAAGGAGAGAATATTCATCATTCGCTTTACATACTTAGCGTTTGGCATACTTCAGGTGTAATTTCAATATCGGTTATTGGCAGGTCATATATCGTTTTAGGCCGATATAACTGATTCACCTAATATCGGTCGATACCGATAACCGATAAAATATCGTTGCATCTCTAATTATATGTAATGGATGAGTGGCCCATTTCAACATTTTTCTGTCTAAAATTCTAGCTTGTTAAACTCTGACTGCAGTGTTGCTGCTGAATGATATATTCTGCAGTATTACACATGACTTGGAACTTGTTAGTTTATGTGTTTAGGTAGTATCTCTGTGGGAACTTGAATGCTTGAGCACCATATGGCCACCCATGTCCTTGCCCACCTTTTTTTTTTCCCGAATCAAGCTACATTTTGAGTAAGGTATTATATACTCCAGTATATTAGTATTAGTATACTCTAGTGGAGGCAAAAGTTGCAAGGCTTTGTTTAACCCCTGTAACACACCAGATATTGGATAATATCCTACCGTCATATGCCAGAATTTTGTATTAAATAAAATAATATTTTGTTTCTGCTAAAGTTTCTGCTTAAATGAAACTGACTTTACTTTCTCTTGTGATTTTGCTTCCCCCTGTGAGCACTTATCATGAGCATTATGTGAATTGGTTACATGATTCCTCCATGACACATACAGGTGCGTCATGTGTGTTCAAGGGATCGATTGCATCAATTTAGCAAAAAAATAACGTATTTGAAATTCTTGCATTTTTAACTTCCTGTATATGTTCATTATCAGATCCTAAGGCCATTTTCTTATAATCAGTCTCATTTTGGGTAAAAGTGAAAGAGACTCTGAGAGAACTTATTTTGCACATTGTCTGTAGTCTATAGTTAGTGCTGATTTTATCAATTTCAAGCTTATTGTGGTGTCCACATATACCCCCTATGCTTTCCTTCATAATGCCTCATACTATTGACTACAAATTTTGCTCCATATTAGAGGTGTATATGAGCTGCAATCCTGTTTAATGAAATGTCAATGGGAGTTTTAGTTCTAGAGATACAGTCAAAATAATTTGTTACCTGCAAAGTGGAAACAGTAAAAGTAGGAAATGGTTGCCACGGCAACATAAGTAAATACATTCGAAAGTTATCAACATAGGTTTGTACACCATTCCAACAATAATGTATCCTGAGAGTTTCAAAAAGATGGCATCAATATGGAGAGAAAAAACTTGGTGGGGGATTTTCCAATGTGGGCATAACCTATTTTGTATATCTTTTGACCTTTGACACCTCCTGATTAGGTCATTATATGACAATTTCAAAATCTGTTTTTTAATACAGTTAGTACTTTTCACAAGCTTTCCAATTGTATATATGTGCAGGTTAGTGTGGGTATGATGCTTTCAATTAGAGAAATTGGATTGTCATTTTGATGTATATTGCCTCCTTAAGTGAAGAGTGAATTATTACATTCTCAAATTTATGAGTGCAGTCATGCTGGTGCATGTGGGCATCTGAAATGGTTGCAGATCAGACAAATTTCCATGCATAGCAGCAGAACCTAACTGAACCTGCTTCATTCTTCTCCCAGTTTTAATTTTTATCTTGAGGAGGGGTAAATTTGTGCTGTTGGCAATCAATTAGCTACTTCCTTGTAATCATGCAATGAAAAAAATATTATGTCAAGTCTGTAATACTTTTCTGTAATGTATTCTGGCACTCTCACACAGAAGTAGCAGAGGTTCTTATTACCACCTCCTCATGAAAGTGCTTCATTGAGGGATTTCCCAGTGTGGTATCCCACCAGCTTGCTTGGCATTATGGGCAAAGGGGAGAGGGAACCCATGGGAAATTGCTTTAGTTTTCAAAGGAGTATTAAGTCATTCTCTGGGGGAGTTGTGGGGGAACTGGAACTGAAAATCTATGCTCTCCTGCCTGCAGGTTTTTTCTTTATCCATCTTCAGTATAATCATTATTGTAATTGTGGTGTTTAATTTCTGCTTTCTTCCTACCAGGTTGATCAGTTTGAGTCAGAAATAGAGTCAGTCATTGTTGGTGTGAAGAAGAAAAAACTGGACAAGGATAAGCAAGATCGTATTGATAATCTGAGGCTGTGGCTGGAGAAACACCGTTTCCACATAAAGAAGTTGGAAATGCTCATGAGGATGCTGGACAACATGTCCATTGATGTGTACCAGGTGAGGAGGGACTTGAACCCTCCTAAATGCTAATAATGTGCATCTTGCACTATTTGTTTTTCTGGTTTCTGGTGGTTCTTCTATTGCAGTATATGTTTGTTTTTCAGATAAAGAAGATAAAGGATGATGTGGAGTATTACATAGATTGCTCACAGGAGCCAGAGTTCAAGGAGAATGAGTTCTTATATGATGATATTGACTTTGAAGACCTCAATCACACTGCATTTGAGGTGAGTCTCTGTCCTCTCACTCACAATGGGCTGAATAAAATGGGACTAAATATGAATGCCTTCTTTTGGGAGGCCTATGCTTAGGAGTTCAACTCTGCTAATGTCAGTGGAAGCCTTACTTTGATCTGATGCATGACACATGCATAGCCACATATATTTGATGCTGAAGTTTTTGGATGGAATAACGGAATGTTTAGATGTTAATATAAATTGTCAGCATTTGTATAGTGCTTAGAAATTTGCTAAATATCATAAATGGCATGTGATATGGGCCTTGGGCATCTGGATTCTAAAATCTATAAAACCAATGCACCAATATGAACGGTATATATAACACACAGGTGAGTGTGAGTGGGGGTGGGGATGCAGATGTGACATCAACACCTACTTCCACTACAGCATCCACTACATCATCCTCCCCAGTCTCATCTCCATTCTCACAAGAGAATCGATCCTCAGGAGGAGGGAATAGCAATAGTGGAGTGGCTATGGTGGCTCCTCAACCTCTCCCCCCTCCTATTTCAATGACTGACACGAGCCAAGTCTTGTTCTTAGAAGAGAAGAGGCGACATCATTCCATGGAGGAGGTTAGTAAAGTTGCTCACAGAAGGACATTTAAAACAGGGAAGATCATTTTAATATATGCATGTATATATGCATAGAAGGTGATGCAGTGTGATCAGATGGGAGGTCTGGAAGCAAGTGGAACTAATGCAGGTCATGAAGAGGCAGTAGAAGCAACTATAGCATCAGCCACCATCACTCCTACCATTACCAGCAGCAGCATCATCATCCCTACTGCCATCAAACCAACTCCTCAGCGGGCCAGCTCTGTGGGGCGCCTGGACATGAATTCTCCCCCACCTGCTGTTGTCTCAGCTTCAAGCTCATCTCCTGTCTCACTTTCCTCCTTCAATCCTATTACTCTCCCATCATCATCATCGCCGCCCCTTAAGCCTAGTGTCACACCAGTTCCAACAAGTGAGCTCCACCATTTTTTATGAATTTTTTTTTAGGGCTACCTGTTCTATAGTATTTGATGTATTGATTCAATATCTTTTAAGCTTCTCATTTTGGTTTTTCATTTTGATCAAAGAAATTCATAATGCTTAGGGAAATATGAATAAGTATCCAAATTTCCCATCCAATGCTTTGTGCGGTCTAATTACCTTGCAATACAGAGTGCATTCAATTAACAATGTTCTGATGCACATAGGCTAGGTCAGGGTTGTACAGGCTTTAAAAATATTCATAGTCACTACTGGCAGCCAGTGATAGAAATTTTGACCATAGGAAACTCACATGTGGCTGGGAAAAGGGGGCAGAAGGACCAAACTCATTCTGAGGTGGGCTAATACTACATCCCAAAAAAGGGGTGATTATTTTTTTCATTAATATATTTTCATCCAATATTGTGCAAGTTCTATATTGACTTGAGGCATAAAGTCTACCTGAACAAGCAGTGGTGAATATTACTCCTAGGTAATTATGTGTTTAGTACTAATTCTATGTTTTGCACTACATGAAATATAATCATGACTTGGGTCAAGTGCTTAAATTTTAAGTACAATTACTTTTCTGACACTAATACCTGATGAACTGACTGCTTCTAATGACCTTGTGAAAAAGGAATGCTTTAGATGGAGGATTAAACAGAACAAAACCAAGGGTTCTCAGTTTTATCCATTCCTGTAAATAGAACTATGCATTCACAAAAAAAATTACTTTCTTTCCCACAAAAATGGCAAAATTTTCAATGTTAGCCTTCACTCATGTTTAACACCAGCATGAGCTTCCTCTCTTCTTCCAGAAGGAGTGGTATAATGTATCCAGACATTAGAGAGCATATTGGAGATAACCGGTCCTGCCATTGAGGGCAATTTGTATGGTCCTTTGTAAAAATTACTAGAACAAAGAGAAATGAGACAGTTGATGGGGATTATCCACGTCCCCAGGCAGGCAAACCGAGTTGACCTGTCTCTGGAGTTTGCTAGATCAGATTTGTGTCAGTGTTGTCAACTTGTTGAGCTGTGATGGCCTTATTCTGCCCATGGGGAAGTTCACATTAAATCCTGCCTGGAGATTTTCAAGAAAAGTGTTTCTGAAGTACAATTTTTAATTTTAAGTAATTTGATGCATGTCACCCTTTGTCATATTTTCTTTGCTTCTTGATAAAAAAAATTCTGGCAGCACTGACACACTCCTAATTTCCCCTGCAACACTCCATTTTGGTCAATTTTGATCATTTGCTTTGTGAACCTTGTTTTGGACATTTTTTAACATAATGTAATGCTGGGAAACTCTCCTAGCCACTTCATTTTTTTTTTATCAACAACAAATGTCAATTGGCCCAAAGAAAGGTGACAGTTTATGCCTTTTTTCTTGAAAATATAGAAACTTCAGGTCAGGCCAAATCAGCTAGAATTGGAATGAAAGCAGCAGAACAAAAACTGTTGCCTAAACTATGTTTATTAAGTTATACCAAATGAACAACCTTACTTTACTTCATTCGTGGGAGAAATTGGAGATTTTCAGCTGGAATAGGTACAAGTATCTCCTGGTGTTGTCAGTAACTTTGGAACTGCCCTTGTACTAATTGCTCTCTTCTTAAATTGATAGTTTATGCTTGTAATGTGTTCTTTGGGTTACCTGCCTTCTTCCTTGCCTCATGTTTGTGTAAAAAAATCTTACATTGCTAAAGGAACTTAGAGGAAGACAATGGACAAGGCAAGTAGGAAGAGGAGGCTTGGGGGTTTATTAATTGCTAAAAATAATCTGGTGTGGTGTCATGTGAATCATCCTGTCACCCTTGCATATTCCTTGGAGAATTTATTGCCATCTTTCTCCAAAGGCAAAGCTTGAAAGAGAATATCTCCTCATGCCAGAATACTCAATCCCAGCATCCTGATATAACATTTCAATCTAATCATTGATTCCCTCAGCCCCTCTTCAGACTAATGCTCCCCAGTCTGATTGTTTGGAGATTTAACAGTTACTCTTGCTCCTTGTGTGGCTTGACACTCTTGAAGACAATTATGGTCAGTGATGATATTCTCTGAGCCATTCTAGGCGAGATATCTTTAGCATCCACATTGAAAACTACTAATTCATCCTCACCCACCTCATATGTCATCATCTTTCTCAACCTTTTCCTTATATCCCCCACTCAGACAACATAACAGGAGGAAGAAACTGCCCTTCTTACCTGATGATCCATTTGAGTAACTTCTTCCAACGATGTAGCCAATTTTATTTAATCACCTGTTAGTAGAAAAGACTTTGGCAAATGTAATTTTGAAGGTGTGGTTGAAGCAGCAGACTGTATAGCATCTAGATTCACCCCCTCTAGAGGCACAAACCTATCATGTGAAAGTTTACACAATTTGTGATATGCCAGTAACTGTACATGCACTGCCATATACTGAAAGTGTATCTTTTATCATGACATCATGTTGATATAATTTCACTGCATAATGCAAAATCTCATGAATATCCACTTCAGTTATATTGCCATTATTGGATCCCACCAGTTCCAATTATTTTTAACTGTTCATAGCTCATGTTTGAGAGTAGGAAGATTGTTTCTGCTGTTGACACAACAGGTGGAGGAATATCAATATCAGGGAGTCCAGGGGCAGTGGCAAAGGAGCTGCTGGGATCCCAGCCCCAGCCCCAGCCCGAGCCCCAACCCCAACCCCAACCCCAACCCCAGCCCCAACCCCAACCCCAGCCCCAGCCCCAGCCCCAGCCCCAGCCCCAGCCCCAGCCCCAGCCCCAGCTACCCCAACCCCAACCCCAGCCCCAGCCCCAACCCCAGCCCCAGCCCCAGCCCCAGCCCCAGCCCCAGCCCCAGCCCCAGCCCCAGCCCCAGCCCCAGCCCCAGCCCCAGCCCCAGCCCCAACCCCAGCTCCAGCCCCAGCCCCAGCCCCAGCCCCAGCCCCAGCCTCCACCCCTGTCCCCGTCCCAGGCTCTGTCCCAGTCCCAGTCCCAGTCCCTAACCCAATCCCAATCCCAATCCCAGTCCCTGTCTCAGTCCCTGTCCCAGTCCCAGTCCCAGTCCCAGTCCCAGTCCCAGTCTCAGTCTCAGTCTTCATCTCAGTCAGTGTCTCCAGGGAATGCCATGTTCAGGCCATCGCCTGTCAATTCTCCTCCAATCATCCCTACCACTGATACCCATACTGCACAAGGTAAGAGAGAGAGAAAGAGTGTGTGTGTGTGTGTGTGTGTCTGTGTGTGTGTGTGCATTTTCATCATCTTATAACTTTGTAAAAGCTACATGGGTTGTTCTGAAAGTCCAGTGAAAGTTATATTTGTATATATTTGTCATAATATCAGAAACTGACTTTTTATTCCCTTTTTTTCTTTAGGGTTTTAGCAGCTCCAGTGAATTTTTGTATAATTTTTTGCCTAGCACAAGTGCCTGATTTTTGTGAAAACATCTTTTTTGTGAAGCCCTCTCCTGCCTTTTTAAGGTTCAGTTGTGTTGCTGCAATTTTCATGCAATCATTCCTGGAGTTTCAAGCTCCAAGAAATGTTCTGAGTGCCATGAAAGGCTTGTTAAAGCCTTTCACACTGGAGCAGCATCAAAAAAGTTTGTGTATGACTGGTTTTCGTGGTTCCTGTATTGTCAGACTGATCTTGAAAATGTCCCTGATGAAGGGCATCAAAAAGCAACTGTATTGATGCAAAAATGGAGAAACTCAATCGTCTAATTGAAAATTACTCAAAAATAACCTACCTTGCCCTTCAAGAGACTCTTGGCATTAAAGCAGCACCATATAAAAAAAATTCTGAACAAACATTTGAAAACTAGAAAAATATTAGCTCAAAAAAAAAAAAACCAGTCTGACAGAGTGAACCAGATGAGCGAATTTCTGCAAAATGCTGCTTCTAAAATTCTACTTAAGGCACAAAAATGTGTCTCTGATATCGGATATTGAGGTTTGGATAGATATGTCAATAGGCATGTTTACCAATACCAATGCCAGAAGTTCAGGTCAGCTGCTCTTTTTATCCACTCCCCATCTGAGATAGACCTATCCATCTAAATATCTATATTTCAGGTGGGGGTGTCTGTGTAATGCATAGGCACGTCTGGAACTCCTTTTTTTTTTAAATACTTTTTGTCCATGAAGGAATCTGACCCCTTATTTAGCCCTTTCAGACCCAATGATATTTTTATTAATACTTTTTTACATGTTCACCTGAGAAACATGGCATCACAACACTGCCTAAAATACCAGACAATTTGTTGGAGAAGTGGTTCATCATTAGTACTTTCTCAATTGCAAGATCAGAAATTTTTTTAATTTTATGACTGTGAGGATAAGGTTTCTCACTTGCTCTCTCACACTGTTGTTATCTCACAAAAGTGTTAGTCTTTTGCAGTTATAAATTATTTTCTTGTCTGCTTCAGGAGTGCTAGTTGCTGCAAAAGACAGAGACCAAAGTGAAGTGTTGCCTCCAGCCCCAGTTGCTTTTCAATCCTATCCTCCACCCCAGGCTCAACTGAGTTCTAGCCCTCTCTTGCACAATGGCCCTCTTCTCACCAAGGTATTACTACTTTCCCTGCTTCACTACTAGATGTTACCATAGTTTTTCAAATCCAATGCATTGGGTTTGCCCAGTCAGACCTCATAAAAACTGTACTGGAACTGGACCTACTAATTTCATTTGTATTGTCTTGCTTCTAGGGCATTGAAGGAAGTGCAGTGTCTTCCTTGACTGCTATTGCACAGAGGGCCATTGACACTGCTGGGATCTCTGCACCACTCATTTCCCCACAAAGTATGTGGAAATTATTTCTTATCCCATCTAATCATGGACTGAATTGTGATTGGGCCTTGGATCTTCTAGACTGGACATTTTTAAGAAGAGATATCTTTGTTGCATTTCAGATTCCTTGGAGGGGATTGTTGGTGGCTTAGGAGGGCATCGAGAGGTTTTTCTGCCTCCATTGTTAGCAGTTGCACCATTTGGGGTTCATCCATTGAGTAAGGAGCATTCTCGGCAGTTGAACTGCATGGAGGCAGCCTTCAGACACTTACCATGTCCATCGGATACCGAACGGTATCGTCTCATCCCCAGGAACCCCTTGAGGACGCCCACTTACTACCCACAGGTGTTGTCTTGCTCTTGGTTTTTCAAATAAGTTGTTGTTTCTTCCATGGAATGGTTCTTACATGCATGAATCAGGTGGTGGGAGGAGCTTGCGATTCGATGGAGTTCTTCCAACGCCTGTCAACAGAGACACTATTCTTCATCTTCTACTACATGGAAGGGACCAAAGCACAGTACTTGGCAGCAAAGGCATTGAAAAAGCAGAGTTGGCGATTCCACACAAAGCATCTCATGTGGTTCCAGAGACATGAGCAGCCAAAACTTGTCACAGACGAGTATGAGCAGGTGGGCTTAGGACAAGTGGTGCTTCGAATTGTGTGCAAAAGACAACTAAATGGAATGGCTTTTGTGTTGATGCAGTGTGCAGTGGTAGAATGAATATAAAATGTAGGCTTTCTGTTGCTTTCTTTTTTCCAGGGAACATACATCTACTTTGATTATGAGAAGTGGAGTCAGAGGAAGAAGGACAACTTCATCTTTGAGTACAAGTACTTGGAGGATCGAGACCTCATCTGAGAAATCCTTTGGTTTTCTTTTCTTTCTCTCTTTCTGTTTCATCTCTGGCTTCCTCTCCCCCTCCTTCATCCAGATGAGTGATATTGTACAAAGGAAAATAAAGAAAACCTCTTTTTCAATGGATTCATATTTGTTTTCTCAGAATCAGCAGTTGGAAGGATTGCGAAATGCTAATACAGGTATCTAATAAAATTACCTTCCCTTACGCTAAAAAATAGGACTACCGATTCTCATAGATCAGGGTTTCTCTACCCCTTTTGGAATATAGGAGAACTGTGCAAATCCCCTTCACTGATGCAGAATGTTGTAAACTACTGAAGACACTGAAATATTGTGAAGAGACTGTATTTTAAAATTTGGCTGTAAAATACTCATTAACAGGTTGACCGCCATGGGGCGCACCGGTGCGCCTCACTAAGTCCCTTTTCCTGCGCCATGAGGCGCACCGGTGCGCCCCACCTCTTTTCCTTTGTTGCGCCTCGTGCTGCAGAGGTTTTGTGAGGTCGTGGGGCAGGAAAGTGAACTATGTTCATGGGCTGATCTTTCCTCAATTACATTTACCCTTACAGGGGGTTCTGAAAATTAATGTAGTGCGGCCTACCGATACTCCTCATGGCGCAGGGTTCTTTTACGCATAAAGTAGACTTACAAAGAGATCAATTCAATCAATGTAGTATTTTTTAAATTCTTTCTCTCTCTCGTCTCTCCTGCGACCTGTTGTATGGAATTTACAAGTTACAATTACTTGCAAGGGTCGTGTCTTTTTCTTCAACAATTCCTGCTGGCACTGCTGGCCCTTCGCACGACTACAACACGACCCTTGTAATTACTTGTAACTTGTGGAACTTGTAAATTCCATTAAACAGGCCCCTGATCCATCCTTACCATTTCAAAATTCACTGATTGCAAGAGAAGCAATAAACTGTGTCCAAAACTATAAAACCAGCGCAAAACCTGCAGAAATGCTTCCTACCGCACGATCGGTGGTTCTACAATCCGGAGAAGTACTCTAACGCGTGACGTCACAGACAGCTACGAAACAAGCACGCCGCGCCGCGCGCGCGAAATTCAATTCAAACGAGGTAAACTTACAGAGTGGCCCTATATGGTGTTAAAACTTGTGAGGCCCACCAGTGGCCCTCCTGGCGTGATAAACCTAATTGCATTTCACACGCCATGAGGCACATCGGTGCGCCTCACTAAAAAGTCAGCAAAATATCACTTAAAATTGCAAATAGTATGAGATGATCAAAGTATGTTGTTAAGGAGTCTCCTAGGAATATAAAAATAACTTTGGCGCAGGAAAGTCACCTGGTCAATATAGCCGTGGCGGTCAACTTGACCAAAGCCTACCGCAAAGTTGGTCACACATGCTTAGGTTTGTCATGAACACTTCAAAATATTATTCACTGGGCATGCGTCAGTAAGAAGTTGTCAGTGTTCGCGTAGGGTACACTTTGTCTGTCATGGAAGACGCGATAAATTCTCAAAGAGCTATCACTTTCTTTATATGGAATGGAAGGAAGGTGTTAGGATGTCCGAAATTATTCGACGTTTGAAAGCTGTTTTTGGTGAAACTCCTGAATCTAAAAGTACCGCCTATCGCTGGATTGATCGCTCTAAGAAAGGAAGAACGAGCCTTGAAGATGGTCGACCCCCGCAGTGGTCGACCAAACACTGCTGTTAACGAAGAAAATGTCGTCGCTGTGGAAAAAATGTTAATGGAAGACAGACGAATCACCATTCGCGAGATTGCAGCAAGTGTATGCATCAGTTCCAAAAAAGTTCATGAAATTTTACACGATCGTCTTGGAGTGAGCAAGGTTTCTGCACGATGGATACCGCGGCTGTTGGGGCCAGAACAGAAACTCAATCGTGTGGAGGTTTGTTCCGAGTTGTCAGCTCTACGGGAACACTATGGGGATAGTTTCTGGCAACGAATCATCACGACAGATGAGACCTGGATACCTTACTTTAATCCACAAACAAAAATTCAGTCCATGGAATAACGGCGACCTTCTGATGCCCCTCCGCTTAAAGCAAGGATTATGCCATCAGTTGGTCAGGTTATGATAACGGTGTTTTGGGATTGCCAGGGAATAATCATGATTGATTATCTACAAAAAGGTTCCACCATAAATGCACAATATTACTCTGATTTGCTGAAGGGACCACTGCGTGAGGTACTCAAGAAAAAACGGCCAGGAAAGCTCCATTCCCGACCATTACTGCAGCAAGACAATGCGAGGTCGCAAAATGCTCGTCTTACGAAGGCCGTTTTGTCAGATCTGCGCTGGGAATTGCTGCCACACCCGCCCTATTCTCCAGACCTGGCTCCCAGCGACTATCATCTGTTTGGGGAAATGAAGAAACCTTTTCGAGGAATCCATTTTGAGTCACTATCTGAAGTTAAAGCAGCGATAAATGAGTGGATAGAACGTACTCCACAAAAGTTATTGGAAGATGGACTAAAAAAATTAGTTACTCTCTGGCACAAATGTATACAGCTAAATGGTGATTTGTTGGAAAATTGCACTGTAATGTCGAAGAAAATTAGCCTAATAAAAAAGTAGCACGCAAATTCCCAGAACTTTGTAAACACCCCTCGTATATACAAAAAGTCTTGCAAAACTTTTTCAGGATCAAAATTCTCAACACCTATGGCGTCATCTCTGAAATTTTTAGATCCTCAAACAGCTTAACCTTTCCAAAGCGCCCACTCGTCATGATACGTGCCATGGTTTGTCATGGAAATTCGCCTCAGAATTCATCTGGTTCGGTATTTCACCGTGGAAGAATGGAACTTTTCCATGCCTATTTTTTCCTGAAAATTCTGTCCAAAATATGTCAATTTATTTTATTTTAGATTTATTTCTAGAACAACTTCAAGAACAGGATACGTTAACTTGTAACATAATTTTGCGCTATTTTAGCACATTGAGAACCGGGTATCTGACACTTGTCCAACTGCTGGGGACCGGCAATTCGTCGGAAATATATCTGTTTTACAAGAAAATTAATAACTTACAAACTACTGTACTTACGTGTCAAACACAAAAATACTCAGGAATGTCCACAGAATCCATTTAGATTTACGGGACCGGGGACACATGAAAGTTCTCCCATAACGTAAATCTATGTTGGCGATCCTCAATGTGTTACGAGGGCCACTCAATAAGTTATCTACCTGAATATGAAAGGGATGAGCAACAGGCCTGTTGGTTTGATGGACAAGAAGTTGACTTCTATTCCAGGGAATAAAATTCTTGGAATCAAAGTGGAATAAGTGTGTTGAGTTAAAAGGTGATTACATTGAAAAATAAAGTGTTATTTTTCCCATCGGATGTTTCTTTCTTATTCAGGTAGATAACTTATTGAGTGACCCTCGTAAGTATTATTTCTATATTTCCATAGGCGTGCGCAACGGGGGTAAAGGTGTATGCATCAACATTCAACCCCTTCCGGGTTTTCCCCGAAATGTGTTCGGGCAAATCATGTAAGGGGTTAAAATCCGTCCCCTTACCCATTATTAGCATGCTTACTTCTCTTATTGCACGCCAAGCGAGAAACATGTTTTTCTCTAAGGACCTTAAGGAAAAGACGCCTATCATTGTCCTCTAAAACTCTTGCCAGTGTAAAATGTTATCTGATAATTTATTCTTTATCAGTTGCGCAAAGCGCCCACCAGCAGGGTTTGAGCTACCATATCCCCAAAGTTTGCCTCGAAAACAATATGGTTCGGAGAATAAGTTATCCGATGAAATTTTCATTTCTCTCTTGATGCCATAGGTACCGAGATTTTGTATCATGAAAAAGTGTTGCAAGACTTTTGGAGGGCAGTATCAATATAGTTTCAAACGCTTGTTAATGAATTAAATTTAAAAGACTGCTCCTGTCTCCCGTAAAACACGCCGATGCTTCGGTGCGTGTCGACAGGGAGATGATCAGTAGCGAAAAGAAATTGACTGCCCTCAAATTCCAGAATATACTGTCGAGATTTTTGTCTTCAAACGACTTCCTCAAATGGGAGAAAAGTCTGCTTTTTCAGACTGGTTGGATGGATGCCCTTCGCAATGGAAACTTCTTGGTCGCGGTCATGTTATTGGATGGAGACGAGCCAAACAAAGAAGCCTAAAACAGTTTCTTATTCCGAATTCTTGCTAAACGTGAGGAAAATATTGTTTTTTTTTGTTTGTTTTTTTTTTTCTAAGGGATTTTTCTCGTCTTAATTTTTCGACGAGATAACGAATGCTTGAAACCGTTTTCGGTCTTTGCATTTCATTGTGTCTTCTCGTATCTGCAAAGAGTTTTAAGGAAAAAACGAAATTTCAGGCTCATGTCATTTCTTTCAGGAGAGTTGTGATCGGTTGTGATACTTCTCATAGAGAGATTTTCGTTTACGGGCTTAATTACGTGACTATGGAAGTGTTTCTACTACAGTAATTCCATGACTGGTCACCTGGCTCTGACGGAAAGACGTGAAATTAGGGCTCTCATGGAAGTCGAATGCTCGAGTGACCTTTTCGGCACGTATACATAAAGGCTGCTCCTTCCAGGAAATCTGTCTCTGCAATTCATCGGAAGTTCCGGGAAGCAGGTTCTGTTGCTGATGCAAAATTAAAAGTGCGAACACTTTGTGAGCGCTTTACTGAACTCGGCCCAATTGTAAACGATAGTGCAACGAAGACCCTCAAAAAGTGTTTGTTGTGCCTCTGGACGATTACTGGCTCAGAGGTACCAAATTTCGAAATTTAATCCCGTTGTTAAAATGACACATTACGAACGCGCCCATTATTTGAAAGTAAAAGTGTTACCCTCTTACTGGGACATACTGTATATGGAGAGAAGGCGAACCCCATCGTCGGTGCACTATTGTTGGCTTTACTTCCTAATTTTTCCGGTTTTAATAGATCTGCAACTCTAGTACATGTAAGGTTAATCAGGAGAGCTTCATGCAACGAGTATCCCAATTATTTTCTCCAAACTTAAGCAAACTACTATCGATTCATACAATTATTTTGTCGAATGCAGTGAACTCTCGTTATAGCGCCACCCTCGCAAGCCGCCATCCGCCCACACAATTATTTACACAAATGTTCTTTTCTCCGCATAAATCATCATCGCATTTGAGCCAAGTGGCATGCCTGCCACAACCTCCATCCAATACGTACACAACTAAATTTTTGTTGTGTACGTACTGGATGGAGGTTGTGGCAACAACTAAATTTTTGTTGTCGATGAGATCGTGAAACAGCGAAACGGATGGTGTGTAGAAAAAGTGTGGAGCTTAGAAGAGGGCGAAGGGTGACAATATGTGCTTCATCGTCATTTAGTCGATTTGTCCTTTGAAGATTTCGGTATCGCAGTCACTAGCATGCTGCGGTTCATTTGGAAAAACACTACCAACAGGAATGCGTCAAAATTGACTGTGACTAATCATGGCGCTTTATCGAGGGTTTATTGTACTTTCGTAAGCGCCATCCCGATAGGTTTTGCCTTGGAGAAATTCCTATTTGATATTAATTAAATAATTTTCTGTGCAAGGAAAGAGCTCCACCATTCCTGATTGAAGAACCTTTTCGAATATCTTACGGAATATTGGAACCACTGACATGCGGCTACAATCACTCCCATCATCGATTTGCCCTCTCTTCGGGTTCTTGGCGAACATACCCTTCACCTTTAGAAAATAGTGGCGTGACAAGGGGGGAACACCACATGACACGATCTCTTCGTGCATCTTTGTTCGAACGAGATAGAATCCAATCGCCAAGTTTGTTTTTTAGTTTTGAGGATAGTGATTTCGCGCGCAATCTCTTCAACCGAAGCGAGTGAAACATGATGCGTCTACGAGTGGCTCTAGACATGACTCTACTTCCGGAAACATTTGCGAGCGGAAATGACGTCGTCCAAGGCGGTCCTTGGGCCACGTGCGTTTTGATTACTTTCCTGGTCCTGGGATCAATTGGGTCATAACTTAACTATTGTTCATTCTACCCTGCTCTTGTTTCTCCCCCTCTGCCGTGCAGTCCGCCCTAGCGATCCTCGTTGGTTCGATAGACCTCTCCCTGCAACTGCGTGGATTAGCATGGACTCGTCAGTAAGCCCTTACTCTTGGCTGCTCACTGTCTCCCTTCGTTACAATCTATCCTATATCTAGGCCTACAGTTGAGCCTAGGCTAAGTCTTAGGCTGTCGTAACTCACGCAAGAGGTAAATTGTATCTTTAGAGATCTCAGCATGATATATGTTAAGCCTGGGCTACAAATTAGGCCTCTGCAGAGTCAACTTTGTCAGACCAGTGCTTAATTTTGTGCTGGAGATGCCCAGTGCTCAACTTCGGTACCACGAAATAATACTACTGGAGCTCAGCTCCTGTTCTTTGATGTTTTTCATATTATTTTATGCTTCATAGTTTCAAAATAATTGACAAGGACCTGATAGTGCCTTCATGTGAGATCAGAAATTTAGATTTTAGTCCATGCAACAACATTGAATACAAAAACCCTTTTGTAAAGTACAACAGGAGGAAAACGTAACATAATATACCATTTTGAGGTGGTATATTATAATACATTTACCTCTGATCTCATTCCTTGGTCAAAATGCGACCACTTCTCTTGTGAATTTGTAGATAAGTGATAAGTAGATAAGTGGAATGAGTAAACAAAAATATATATTTTAGCTCCAAATTGTACAAAAAATTATGCTGCCAGCTAGGCATGCAGATCCACCAAGTTATGCTAGTTGCACTATCAATAAAGGATGAATAAGAAAAAAATGAAAGTAACCCCTGTGGGTCCTCCATGTGGGTACCACTTTTGTATTCATTTAAGGATCATTAGCTTGTTCATCTTCCTTACTGTTCCTCTTCCTTTTCCCAGACTGCTCTTCAATTTTTTTTTGAGAGCTGAGACTCTGTAAAACCCCCTGATCTCTGGAAGTTGTGCCAGCTCAGTTGCTGCAATAGAACATGTGTTTAGAACAAAAGCCTATATTTTACACACATTTAAAGACATCTGTTAGGCACTTTTCCTCATATAGTCACATGCTCATACATATAAATTATGAACTTGAACCAGATACATAATTGAATATGGAGAAGTCCATCCCAATAATTCTTGTACAAAGAATATACATGTTGCCCAAGTATGTCTAAAGCATGAGTAAGCTTCACATCAATCACATATTTAAGTCATATTTGCTTTCATATGTGTAGCCCCATATGTCAACATGTGGAAAATATGTAAATTTATATGGCACAGAAAACTGTATTTAACTGCCTTGCAAGATCTTTCTGTCTAAGGTCCATTGAAGGGAATATTAAACTTAGACCTGCACAGTCTGTATTGGGCCTATGGTAGCCTCTAGAGAGGCAAGGGTGAAAAGCCAAAGCCTGTTCTTGATCTTGCATCCTGTACCCTAGACCAGATTGGGAAAATTCCTGCATGCATGGAGGATGAAAATGATGTCTGTACGGAAGTGGATGGGTATTCTGATTCAGGAAGCTCTGCTGACTGTGGGAATTCCAAGACTGCAGCTTATCACGATATCCTGATCCTTCTATCTTCACTTGATGTAGAAGCAAGTATGTGTTGGAGCATGAGTTCAAGGCAGACGTAACTGATTTCACTTTCATTTCATGCCACCTTTTATATTACTCTTGATGTTTCTGTTGATATTTGAAATATACAGCCAGTTGAAGTAAGATTAACCCATGTTAAAGCTGTTAAATTGAAGGTGAATTCACTATGACCTTTGATTAGGAGTAGAAGTGGTTTTCTGACCACCAGTTGGTTCTCATTTGCTGAATCTTGCCAGCCATAAAGCTAGTTTCTTTTGCCTGAAGTCAAACATCTGTTTATGATTGAGGGATGAAACTCCTTTAGGACCTTAAAAAAGCAGATTGCAACTCAGCCTCAGGTTGTGGTCATTCAAATAGTTGGCTTCAAATGCATTTATTTTTTGTCTATGTTGCTCAAAAGTTCACCCAACTGTATCCTGCTACCTGGAATGCTTCATGAAAGCAGTCAATTGGTTTAATAAGTAGGCAAGGGCTTCTGATTAAAGTGCAGGAATTTTACCAGTTAAGGGGTTAATACAATGTAATTTTTTGCAATAATCTCACCTTTAGGTGTGATATGGAAGTCAATATGACACTATAACAGCAAAGAGAGTAGTTAATTTTGATGATAACATTGCATTTATATCCTTTGGCACAGGACATCAAGATGAATGTACAAAGGTTCACTCAAAGGGAGAAGAAGAGAAGAGGGGAGACAAAAAGCTGGAAAATTTTTGCAAAGATGTTACCATATCAGAAGAAGCAGTTGAAAAGAAGGATAGTCCCACTCCTGTCTCCAAGGGAACTGATATTTTGTCCAGAGTTTCAGAAATCTCACCTGCCCACCTTGATTCCATAAATGCAGCTTCAAGGAAGCCTTCAATACATCCCAATCTGCATTGGGCTGAAATGGCTGGTGTCAACAGCAGAAATACTGCATCTGATGAATCCATATTGAAACCAGATGTCCTCCTGTGCTCTCAACCTCAGCAGGGAATTCCTCTTCTTGGGCTTAATTCTCTGAATGAATCTCCTAAGCAACCTTCATTTCAGTATGTAGTAGCATTCTGTTTGTTAAAGTTGTGAAGGATTGTTTGAAATATTCCAGTAGAAGATTTTCCTAATTTTTGCCTATAATTCAGGCTAGTAGCTTACTTAATATGCTTTGGTTCCTTTTGTGACCTTCTTTCCCTTGCAATCACTCTTGCACTTTATAAACTTTTGACAAAACTTCCTCTTTGTCTGAATGCTCTATGGTGCACCTCTTCACTCATAAGTCTCTGGCATATCTTTTGGACACTTAGGAACTTGGGGTTTCTCTAGCCTGGCAATGGAGAAAGTCTTCTACCCCTCCTCCTATGGTTATGTCTAAGTTATCATTTCATATCCTCCTCTTCCCCCTCCCCTCCTCACAATCCTGCATGCTTCAATAAATTTTTCTGAGAAACCATCTCTTTTTGTAAATTGGCTTCTGTGAACTGAGTCTTTCTGAGGAAGGCATATCATGCAAGGGTCTGATTTGAGTTTTTCACCTGTTGCATTGTGAAAATAAAAGCACAAAGAAGCAACCTGTCTAATAAGTAGTATGTCAGCAGCAGTCTTGATATGGCCAACTTTTTTTTATTGACTGTAAACCATACTCTACTTTTTTGCTTTCTCTCTTTATTGAAAATAGGGAACTCCTTTCCCTCATTGGGGCCTTGGAACATGATTCATCCCAACAAAACAGGTGAGAATTGAAGGCACCTTCTTTAGCTAAAAAATTTAGGAGTTGCCAGTTTGCATGTTAGGGGAGCATCAGTAATATCAACTGATAATACCAATAGGGTTTTTCCATGCCCATTCCTGCAACTTTTGAATTATTTTTAGCCAATCTGAATGGGAGTTCCATGTAAGAATTACTATATTGGGGCTAAAGTAAAATTTTGAATGGTAGTTTTTGCTTTCCATCAAGCCAAGCAGAGATCTACAGTATAAACAGGGTTGCTTGCTGGTTTTCCAATGAAATTTCACTACAACCAAGCTCTTGAAGTCAACCAAAATGGACATCATTCACATTTCTGCCAATTCTCATAGTTTTGCTTAAGATGTCAGCTTAAATCCTGGTACTTTATAGAGACCTTATCAAGCACAGCTGGGGGTTTGGTCTAAAAGTCATTCATATTTGTATAAATAATTGAGTCTTGCTCATGATGAAATGGTGTAGTAATGGAAATGATGGAGAACAACATGGAGCCAAGAAAATGGACCTAAATATCACAAATACATGTATCTTCTACTTACTTTCTTTTAGCAGGTCATAATTCAATGTAAAAATATATTTCAAAATGTGGAATCGCAACAGAAAAATATGTGGTTCAGAGTCCAATGAACCCACCTTGTCTAGATAAGGGTTAATAATATCAGTTGTGTAAGGAAACTTGCATGTTTCTTGTCAGTTGGGAACAGGAGATGAAGCGGAAAGAGTCAGAGATGCAATCACTGAAGGAAAACTGGGATGAGGAGAAGCAAAAGAGAGAGAAACTTGAAGTGGACCTTGCTCATCTGAAAACATGCCTCAGGAACCAATTGCTATTGATTGAACAGGTAATGGCAGTGATTGTTAATCCTTTCTCATAATGATTTGACATCAGGATAACATAACAGCAAACTGTTTTCTTTGATCTGTGCAGCTGTCAAGAGAGAAGGAGCAAGTGAAAGCTGGAAGCCAAGAGTTGGCTAATCAGCTGAAGGTCTTGCAAGAGAGGCATGAAGATGAACTTGAGAAAATGAAGGAGAATCACAAAGGAGATATTCAGCGTGTGCGTAGTCTCTATTCAGTCAAGGATCGGCTGAATACAGAACAGTGGTTGGCAGCCAAGACAAAGGAGATCAAGGAAATGACTGTGAGAGGACTTGCTCCTGAGATCCAGAGGCTCCTGTCTTCTCAGAAAGTTGAGGTGGAAGCCTTGAAGAAATCCATGGCTAGAGAATGGGAAGACAGGGAGAAGGAACTGAAAAAGAGCAAGCTGAAGGAGCAAGAAGAGGCATGTCAGCGGGAAAGAGATGCTGCCCGCACCAGGTCATTGTCCTAATGTCTTCAGTTCATGAATGACAGCTTGCTATTTAAGCATCCACCTAGATACAGAATCAAGAACATGTGTAAAATTTTCAAGTGTGCATATGCACTGAATATTAAACATTTGAAATTTTTTATGATTTGGAAGCATGGAAGACACTTTGTATCACTGAAGTAAAACCTAAGTCAGGTGAGCATGAGAAGGGGAATGAGATGAAAAAACAGTTATAAACATGAAGCCTGGGTAAAGGGTCAATGCAATATTTCTGGTAAGTCTAGCTTTTGAGCATAATCAAACTTCTCTATGTGGCTTTAAGGTCTAGGCAGTTGCATGGCTCAAGAGTCATGATAAGTTTGGCTTGCAAGTTAGTTCTAGTTTATAAGTCTTCCATCCTTGACCTAGGATATAAAATCCATTTTTCTGTGCTGTTTGAAGGACTACATACAGATCATCTACTGTTGCTGTTGATTGATTAAGGAAAATTAAGCAAAAGTGAAAATTTTCTGATTTTCATGAAAAGAAGTAATGTAGGCTTGCTCTTCATGCCACCATCAGAAGTATGTGAAGAGCCTGGAAGAGGTGACTGAAAATGGAGGTTCTTTCTGACATCTGTATTGTACACTGAAAGGGCAATTGCATTATAGCCCAATACCTGTGGCTTTTTGTTTTTGTTCAGTGCACATTTTCCCTTGGGTTGTAATTGCTTTGCCAGAGAAAACTTACAGCATTCCTTATGATAGTGATGAGAACTAAAGTGAAGATCTGCAATATTCTAGAGAATAATGGATTTGAAAGTGGGTAGTTTTTTTTTTCACCATCCAGGAGAAAAGGGATCCAATGAAAATGGAATCCATGTAAGATGAAGTGTAGGTTGAAAGTACAAGGTATTGTGGGGAAAATGTTGGATTCTTATTTCTTTATAAGTTTTGATTTATACTTTATAGTAATATCTTAATTTTTTTTAAGGTTTGCTATTAACCTTGGCATTTCATCATGAATCAGCAGTTATGAAAAAGCCTAATTTTCCCATCCCTCAACAGCAAATGTAAAAGTAGATCCACACTTATCTCTAATGCTTGGGTCCAAAGGTTAACTGAGGTGACATGTTTCAATGATTTCTTTGCTTTTGAAAAGAATCAAGAAAAGTAATTTTATTAAAGAAATCCCCATATGACATTAATGAAGGTATGAGAGGGAGCTGGAGAAGGAACTGGAGGTCCATGAAAAAAGAAGAGTTCGTCTGATGGAGCAATTTGAGAGAGAAAAACAAGCTTGGGAAAATGAGGTATACAAGTCTCCTTTGCTGGAACCTGTCATCCCTCATTTTGATTGCATCTTATTAAAAATTAGAAAAATACCTACACACTACTGCCAAGCTATCATAAACTTCACTAGAACTCAGAGAAACAGTTTTTGTTGCATAATAACCCATTCACTGTTCACATTTAAACATATCATGCCCCAACTCTCATTATGTGCTAGCTTCATATGCTAACATGTCATGATTTTATGAATTTCTTGTGGAATTGCAGTTGCATTATAATTTGCTGAAAGTTAAGTCAAAAATTTAATGCTGCAGACTGTTTTTTTTAATTTCCCATAGCACACAACATTTAATGTGCTAACTTCCAGGCAGCAATGAATGGTTTAATATGGTGCCAACCTGATATACTCTATTTGAACTGAGAATGCAGATATTTCCTTGAAGTGTCAAAGTTAAATCACGAGGTAAAACCCATTGTTTATTTGAGTAAAGCTGATGAGGATGATGAAGGAGGGAAGAGAAGCTCATGAGCGAGAACGGAGGAGTTTTGAGGCAGAACTTGAGGAGTTGACATCACGTTACAATGAAAAGCTCCAGCACTTGAAGGAGTTTCACCAAGTATGCATCCTCCTGGAATTTCTTCCTTTCTCAAAGTCTTTCTATGCTTTACACTCACAAAGAGAACCACTTCTGCTCTGTTAGGAAGAGATGAGACAAAGAATTGAAGAATCAGTGAATGTAGAGAAGGAGGCATGGGAGAAGAAGTTGGAGAGACTAGAAGGGAAGTGGATATTTGAGAAGGAAATGGAAATAGAAGCAGTGAAGAGGATGCAGATGTCAGAAAGAGCCACTCTTCAGGATCAGCTAGAAGCCAGCTTTCAACAGAAGCTTATGTGAGTTCACTAAAATTATCACCAAGTTTTTTCCGACATTTTTATTTTGTACTCTAATTCTATGGTTCATCCAAAAGAACTGCTATGTAGAACAAATACTGACCCCATGGTTAACCCTTTTCCTGAAGTGTGCATTGTTGAGAAAGGAGAGCATGCATGTGCCAATGTACTTTTGGGAAGTTAACCTCGTGAAAGAGTTGTGAGACCTGAAACTGAAGTTGGATGACATTTTAAGATCACCTACAGAGGTTCTTGAAAAGGAGCATCTTTCATATGACTCAGATACTCAAAGATAAAATGACAATATCATGAAGCTGGCTTTGAGCATGAGTATCTTGAATGAATATTATTTCTCCATCTTTGTAAAAGAAATGGTTCCTGATGAAATTCTGTGAATAAGTATGTTGAGGGTCTTCTGTGGAGCCAGGAGATCAAAATTGTGGGGTACCTTGATGGGACCATCAGTATCATCTGAAAGTTGTTTTGCAATATTTTGCAGTGAGGTTTGGCAGGAGCTATATTCTTATTCCTAGTTGTACTTTATAATGAATTGTGTTGATTTTTTCTGTTATAAAGTTTCATTTTATTTTTCCCTAAAATGAAAAATAACTTTCTTTCTCTTGCATGAAACCAAAAAAGAGCTATGAAACTTCCTCATGACATGCATTATTGGTTGACCTAACAGGTGCAAAATTGATTCCTTGTTAGTTTACACTCCAGTTTAGAAAGTTTGGCATGGGAAGTATGCTGTATGAATTTGTTAATTCCTGACATTCAGACTTTAGATGCAATCAGTCAGATCAATCTGCTGTCAAGCTAATTCTCATCCCTTAAGCTTCAAAGGATCAGGTGACTGATACAAAAGTCCAGAGGAGCAGCTGAGAATGAGAGGAAAATTAAGCTCCATAGTCTCTGGTCTCCACTTAGAGAGAGTATGTACCATACTTGCAGTTTCAAAGCCAAGTCTGCTGTGTGATGCCTTTCAGAAACATTGAATTGTATTATTTCTCTGATGGTCATCATAATAGACACCATTCTGACATGAGACTTCCAAAACATATTTTTTCAGCAATATTACATAGCTCTGTTTTTGTACTTAGGGTCACTTCTCATGTTCATCACTCTGCAAGATGTTTATGATCATAGAGGAGCATAACAATTTGTTGTTCAATATCTGCAATTGGATACCTAAGTTTAATTTGTGAGGTTGTCAAACTTAGTATCAAATTCTCCAAATGAAATGTATTGAGTACACTCAAAGTTGTTAACTGTACCATAGGCTATGACTGAATGATACAGTATGGTACCTGTGGCTTGACTATGATATTGCTATCAAGATGATTGATTGTCTCTTTTTTTCACGTTGATAAGTTGAAATATCACATATTTTGACTATTTTAAAATTTTTTCATCATAGAATTATGTCTTCCATCCACACTGGGATCATAATTCCATACCAATGACAGTCAATAACATGCACAATTGCATCACAAACAAATATAACATGATATTGTAGGCAGGATGTTGTCCTACACCATGGAATTGACTTCTGTACTTCCAGCTCCCACAGTCCACTCCCATGTCTCTGACCTAATCCATTAACTCATAGGTTTTATATGGGTTGGTCTTATATTCCCTGATTACTTCTTGAGATGATGATAGATCTAGTTTGAATAGGGAAACTCTTGTCTGCTGTAGAGACCATTCCACAAGTCAAAAGTCAGCCATTGACATCTTATCAAGCCCCTGTACTGTGTCATGTTCCTAATGAAGCCAGCAAGAGATTTCTTAACCCTTATCCGGGCAAGGTATTTTTGTGACACAAACGTGCAAGGCCAAACATTTTTCAAATTTTTTCCTTAAAACCAAATTCAAACTTTAAAAATTTATTTTTGAATCTATGGATGAAACCCATGTCAAATTTGAAGAATATTTAGACAAAATTACGGAGAGTAATGAAATGAAATATACCCTGGGGGGGGGTCCAATGGACCCCCCAGGGTAAAAGGGTTAAAGAAAGTAATAATGGATGAATGTGGATTGGAAAGGGATTTGGAGGAGGGTCAAAGGAAGGAGAGAGAGGATTGGACAAAGAGGATGGAAGAGATGCATTTGATGCTGGAACAAGAGACAACTCGATACTCTCACATCCTGCATGATAAGGCCTCTCTCCAGGAACTCTTGGAATCTCTCAAAACAGATCTCCAGTCCTCAGCACAGGTCCCTTTGAACCTATTCCCTGACATACATTCCAATGCCTTGTCTTACGATGCTCATTCTGGTAATTATGACTTTCCCCTGGTCAGAGACTTGCTGAGAGTGAGGAGGAGAAACGAAGACTGCAAGAAGAGACTGAGGATATCATTGCATCCAGAATCAAGGAGATAATGAAGGAAAGGGATGCATGGAAAGAGGAAGCCTTGAGGATTGCACAAGAAAAGCAAATTCTCATACAGAACCATGAACGGGAACTTCAGATTATAGATCTCAGGTCTTTTGTGCAGTCTCTTGATCAGTGATAGGGATCAGTTAAAAACGAAACTCAACAGCAGTTCCTTTTTCTTCCAGGTTGAGAGAAGCATTCAAGCAAAAGGGGCAAATGTATCTCACACCAAGGCAACAACAATAGTGCTGACTATCACTTGTCTCCTTTTTTTTATTTTTGCACATTTTGTCTGGAGATTGGATCTCAGTTGTGCCTATTCTGTGGTGGCCTTCAGAAGTGCATGTTTAAAGTTTGCAAAGTATGCAGTTTTGTTATTGCCACTTCCACTTAAGCTGTAAAAGCTGAATTGTTGTCCATCATTCCTGGTTTTATCATGTTCATCATGTATATGTAATCATGTGTAAGTGACCACAGCTGTCACCTAACTTGACAACCCATCTGCCAACCCCAAAGGAATCATGCACTTATTTCACTCACCCCTACATCATGCTATGAATCTCATGAAAGCTCTTTCCTTAACCCTTTTACACCCAACTTTCCAAAGCTGCTCGTGCGCTCTGACTTGGGCCAGAGTTTGGCTAGGGATGACACAGCCCAGAAGGCGACCATTAGTATACTCAGGCATGGGATTTAAAGGGTTAATAAGATATATAACAAAGGAAAACATCTTAAGAGATTTTGGGTCTCCCACTGGCTGTATGTGGTCAAGTCATGGGAGAAGATTCAAAGATGTCATTTACCAGATTTCAGCTCATCTACAACTTTCAGAGAAGTGACTCCTACATTGCCAGCTTAATGAGCATTCTCCTCAATTTCCCAATATTGATATTAGGTAGATTCATCCTATTCTGTCACAGTGCCTGTTTTCCTTCATGTGCTGTTTGTCACAGGGAAGAGGATGGCTTGAATCTTCATGATTTTAATTTAATTCAATCCAAAAACAGTTTATGTAGGGATTTGCAAATGAATTTGTATGTACATCAGGGTTTTAAGGGATTTAATATGATCTGGAATCAATATTTTTATCTTCTAAATTCTACATACCACTAGTGGGACCTCAGATCACACTGGCATTTTTGGTGAGAAAGAGTAATTCCGTTTTACCCTAGTGTAATGGAGAATCCGATTAATTGGTAGTGGGAAGTGGAATCGATAAAAATAGGATAGATTACAAATTGTATTTGACTGTAGTCAAGCAGCATACTTCGCACACTTTCACTTGGGAAAATCACATGGTATACTGCGATGGCATTTTGAGATATTGTCCTCTTCAGCTGACCTGCAGCTCTTACATAATCTTTGACGAAATGCCTCTGGTATACTGACATACTACTCTTGCAACTTCTTCAGAGTTGATATGCATCCTGGATGCCCATACTCATCATGACGGACCCGCAGCAACTCAGGCAGTTCACTCCTCACCTATACTGATAGCCTCTTGACACATTTCAGCGAATGGCCTGCAATACAAAAATGCTCCTCGTGTTTGAACTTCGCCACTTCGCGCGCTCACCTTCCGTATCAACAACACCACGTTTCCATTTTTTACGCTCAATCCTTGGCAGTATTAGAAGCGGCACTTTCCCTCAGTGTAATAGGGTCATGCACTCAGACTAGAGTTTACACCCCTTCACTTTCCCCTTCCCCTCCTCGCCCCTACCCTCTGGCAGCCAAGAAATAAAAGGACTGCCTGGCACCACAGCCTGCCTCTGTCTCGGTCACCCCTGAGTACCTTCTCCCTCCTCGGACACTCAACCACAGGGGTCGGCAACCTACAGCCCGCCAATCACGCTAAGAAAATATATTTATTTTATATTTCATTTATTCTTCTCAAAACCTCATACTCCCTCTTCTGGGCTGATCACAATTCACAATAATACACTCCGATCCGCCGTGTTAATTTCGCCGCAATAAGTGAAAGAGTGCCGACTCCTGCTCTACAGGCATTGTTTGACTTCTTACCAAAAAGTGCCCAATCATCAACCTTCGAAATTCATCCACAGACCTGTGAATCTGCCCCCTCTCCCATTCTATTGAAGATTTATTGTTTTTGTTGAACCGCTGCCTCTCCCTTTATCGTGACAATCACTATTCCATAACTCTTTTTCTAAAGAAGCTTTCTCCCTACATCCGCCGTAGATTATCAAGAGCCATAACCACTCATTCGCCACATTTCTTTTTAACACTAACTTGTTTTGCTACCGCATCCCCGTCACATCAGCACAAGAAAACTCCCTTATCGCTTGTTCGTCACAAGGTCCACGAACAACTGAATCACCTTGAGCATGACGCGTTTTAATGGGAAGTAGAATCGGATTTTCTCCAGTAAGTTATCCCACCACTTATCCCACTAGTACTATGTAGTACTTTGAGCGCAAAATACTGATTCCAGACAGTGGCTTATTTTGGCTGAAGGGTCAGGGGGGCAAGGCAACAGAGCGGGGGCGTCAAACTCCACCCGAGTAATATCAAGTGAGAAAATTATTTCCTCCAAGGAGACGCCAGGCTCTGTCCTATGGGCGGCCGCCTTGTCCCCCAGTAAAATACGCCACTGATTCCAGATTATCCGCGGGTGTTCTAGAATCCGTCATAACCCTAGTGGGATTCCAGAACCTTACATATGCCAACTTTATCATGGTGCATGCAAGGATATTGTAATTTATACCATGATGGAAGTAATATTAAGCCTATGGAACCTATGTTGAAGGCGTTAAAATTGCTACAAATTCTTTTGTAAATCACTTGGAGCGATACGAATAGTTGCAGCGACAGCCTGCCCGGCGTAGCAGACGACGTCTAGAGACAGGATAGGAAATATGGCGCTGCTGAGGAAGGCAGCGGCCAGAGAGGTACTGTTCGAAAGACGGCTTATACTGGGAGTTACCATCAGTGCCTTCATCGCCTTCATCATCTGGCTTGTGGCTCTCAGCACAGATTATTGGTTCGTTCTTGATGTGCCAGGAGGCGGCCTGTCTTCAAACGACACCGTCGCCAATGGCGTCTTCCTCCGCAGTCGTTCTGGAATCTGGAGACTCTGCACTACCCGACTTTGGCTTCGAAACAATACCATCACTGTCATTGGTGGAGCCATCTTCATCTCCATCTCAGAATCATTATACTCTTCGTTTCATATTTTATCGCGAGCCCGTAGTTAACCCTTGTGTAGCCCTAGTCTATGCCTAGGTAGACCAGGCAAGTATATTACCCCTTTCGCACATCTCAGCACCGCAATATATGCCGAGTCCTGTGTTATATTCATCACGCGGTCACACTCCGTCTCATTTTTTTTAGACCTATGAGAGAAGTCAGCCTTGCACTATTAATGTTAGTACCCTTCAATTGGTCTTCATCTTTCCCTTATTGTTTACTACTCTCCTACTCTCTCTTCTCATCAGTCCATCTGTGTCTACACTGCTTGATTTCAAGTTGTTGGCAATGTTTTGTATAGATGAGGAATGCATTGAACAAAGTTTGTGATAAAACATGATATTGATGGGCCTGCACAGCAAATCATTCAAAAACGGTAGTACTTCATGCTTGAGGCTGCTGCAGTTAGATTTTGATGCTTGAAGGACCTCATCAGCTTGGTTGATGCCCAAGTTGCATCAAGTCAATTATGGCTGGATCTCAGAATGGTAACTTTTTTCTAAAATGGACATGTGACAATTATTTCATGGTCATTCATCTCTTGTGTTCACACAGTAGCTATTAAACACTGGCTTCTGATTCCTTCATATTGCCATCTGACTTATATAACTGGATCAAATGTTGCAGTCCTCTGTGCATAGTAGGTGCTGTGGGAGGAGCATGAAGGGAGGAATGAAGTGTCTGTGTAGAGGGTTGGTGGGTGTGTAATGTAGCATGGGTGGTTGAGCAAGATTTATAATATTTAGCTAGGCCTTTGCCTTGCTGTAAGTAAAATTGTGCATGGATAATGTCACCCATGGCAATATTACTCTATGACAATAGGCTCGTGGCCTATACTATTCTCTGTAGGACTTGGCTAAAGTAATGCTTTACCCTTTCAGATTCTTGCAGATATCATGACTTCTTCCCACCAAAGGCTGAAATTCCCAAGAATCCTGATATTGATGAGAACATTCTTGGTGAGTGTTGTCATAGAAATATCATGTAGGTGATCCCATCCAATCAGGCCTAGGCCCCCTCCTGACTTCATTTCATATAAACAGTTATTAAAAGGAGGAGGTACATATTTTTGGTGTAGGGTAGAAATCATAGTTCCTTTTAGGCCAAGGCCTAGTACTAAGTGCATTCAGAAAGTAATGACCACTGCAGCACAGCTCTGTCATCTTTCCCATTGCATAAGTGTTATGCCTTGTTCTGTGACAGCTATATTTCTTCAGTACTTGTGGGAAATTTCACCTTGAGGATAGGCCAAGGAAGAAATACTCTGCATTTGATGGGGAGCAACAGAATTTACAAAATTATGACTGGCCCAGTTATAATAGTCTAGCCAGGACTCTGTGTATGCTCCCACCCAGCATTTGTGAATCAGGAATGTTTTGCCAAGAGTTTAGAAACAGCCTGGTAACATTTTAAACTGAATAGCTGTTAACCAGGATAGTCTACAGTGATTACATGAGGAGGTAGTAAATTCCAATTTCCTCAATATTGCCTTGTTACCTTTCCCAGATTACTCAAGAACTGAGGCAACCTTCTCGGTGATTGCTGTTTTCATCATGGTATTGGCTCTGGGTTTTTCTGTCTATACATTCAAGCAGACCCGATACATGTACAAGCGCCTGGCTGGCTCTCTCCACTGCCTTGCAGGTGGGTTCATATTGCATTGCATTCAAATATCATTATTTCTTGATCTTGGAATGACATAATTCTTTCATCTTCAGCTTGCTCCCTGTTGGTAGTCCTGGAGGTGGTGAAGCATTCGATGATATATGAAGAGAAGAATTTCCCAAATGTTCATCCACCTGGATGTTATTCATACTATGGGTACTCCTACCTCTTGGCATGGGTCACATTCATCTTTTACCTTTTGGCTGGCCTCACTTTCTTCTACTGCTCACGGAAGAGAAAGCGTGAGAAGGCCCCAGATGAAGATTGGGCTATTGAAGATGAGCCTCACATAATTGGCCGATAACCTTACTTTTGCTTTTAAACAAAATTTTTGGGCAGCTTGAATCTCTTGCTTAGAGAATCTCCCCATGTTCTGGTTGCTGAAACAGTGTGAAAACTCCCAGAATACCTCCTGTGATAATACTTATTCTCCTGTTTCCAGAGGATAAGGAAGGGTGCTCAAGGATGGAAGAGTCAGAAATGGCTTTAGTTGCTCTTAGCTATCTCATGTGTCTTGTACAACTGTATTTTCAAAATGGATTTAGTTCAAGGCTTTTCAAACATTTTTTATACTCAAATCTGTTTGCCTTCTTCCTCCTTGAGCATTCCTTACCCATATTTGTATTTCACTATATGACTGCCTTCTCAAATTTTGAGCATTTTTTTAACAATTTTTTTTACTTTGTTCGTTAGAGCAAAGGCTTCATAACTGGTGGGGAGATTCTTTGCAGATGTGACAGAGTATCACTGTTTTTGTTTTGCACTGATTCATTCTCTTCAGTTATGTTCTATTAGAGAACATGAGAACTGAGGTTGTGTGATTCATTGTTGGGAATGTACCTCAGTGCCTGTGGTAATATCTGATGGTGAACCACATTTCTTGAGCCTAGGCCCCCATAGGTATAGCATGCCCCAGGTACAGATTCACTCATGAATTCAGAGAAAATAAGAAATTTCACCATTACCTCTATGATATGGTGCCTCGCTCTCTTCCTTACTGTCAGTGTGAAGAAGTTCCCAATGTTCTCAAGTTTCTGTTGGAAGTATGGAAATAAATTGGCTTAACTCTTAATTCAGGAACTTCAACAAAGCACATACTTGCTTTGGCATTCTCAACCTGCATTGAATGGATTTATCCTGCAGATAATGAAAGTGCCATTATTTTGAGTGTTTTGTGACAAGATTGATAGACCAGAGACTCTACACTTGTAATCAAGTTAGTTCTGCCTTCCATTTTGAACCCTACCTATCAATGTGTCTGGCAAGCTTTTAATGTTACTCTAAGAGTGGAAATAGGCAGAGCAGGGTATTAATTTTATGATTGCATGCAGGATGACAAATGTTACAATACCTACAGAATTTTTCTCGTGAATTGATTACCTGGTACCTGAATCTGAGGTGTTGATTATAATCATTTGTACAATAACCAAGACAATAAGCTGGTGAGGGCCTTGTCATTTTTAAATAACACTGGCCATTTCATGCCTTGATGGTAAATGCAGTTGTTCCATTTCCTGGAAGATACCATTGTCTTGCATTCCGATCGGAACTTTACCAGGGGAACAGGTAGCCTTTGAGTTCGTAATACATAGGCCCATTTCTCCCTCCATGGATTCACTATATCATTGAATACTTAATTCATTCACTTAGCAATCACACTGGAGCCATGTTCTTATTGGGATTGTTCATGAAACAACTTATGAGAAAAAGTTTTGAATTTTCCCTTGTGTATCCCCACAGCAGTCACACTGGAACTAGCTTCCTCTCAGGATTGTTCATGATACAACTGATTGAAAATATGAATTTGTTTGGTTAAGTTGTCAACCATTGCTGTGTCTTATCTGTGGAGAGTGCTTCTCGTGCGTCTGTGTGTTTTCACCTTTCTGGGTTTCAGTGTTGTGCACTCAAGTGTGGAGTTAACTAGTTCTGTGTACTTTTCCCTTCCCCACGACCTGCAGATACTAGCTGTACCAAGGTGCAGCTTGTATCTGCAAGTCGTTTCCTACAGCACTGGCTTTCTCTTCCTACTATTGTCCATCCAAGATATACAATTTATCTCAGATACCTGCTGATAGCCATTTGAAGGATCCATCCTAAAAATAATAGTGAGCTTGCTTTTGCACTAAATTCAATAGAAAGGAGAGGTCTTGTTCACTGTGGGCCAGATTCCTTGAAAACCTGGCCAGTTGCCATGAGGTAACACCTGCAGAGTCTGGAATTCACTATATGGAGTGATTTGCAATGAATTCGTACTACCTTAAAAGTTGTGCGTGCCTGCTTGGGGAGATGAGGGTCATCCCCCAAAAGAGAATTGGTTGTAGGCCTATTGCACTCGTGCTCAAAGCTGAACGAATGTCATTTGGCTTTTGTGTAAAAGTAAGCTAAATAGATCCTATCAAAAGAAAGACAAGGATGGGCAGCTGCTTATTTTTTCCATGATCGTGCGAAAATTCAGGAGATATTGTATTTTTTTTTTATCTCATGGTGGCTTGTCGGGCTTGGCCGAGGAAACCAATTACACCATGAAACCTACAGAGCCGTTCCCAACTGTGACTTAATTTACTGCATTACTGCACCTTTGTTGCTCGTACTCATCTACTACGCGTGTCATCCAAGCTTCTAAAATTTTAAATTAAAAGGAGAGAGCTTTGTTGCGTTCCATCGAATGTAAAAAAATTTCGACAATGTGATGGCCTGAGGGAATCAAGTGAGAGCCAAGAGATCGGAAAAAGCTTATCTCATACGTGGCGTGAACGGGTGCAAAATCACTGTCCTTATTTACACTTTTGATTTTTCGATGTTTTTCCGAGGTTTCATGGAATCTGGCCCACTAGGCATTTATGTGATGTGTCTTGAATCGTTTTCAGTGTGTTTTTGTTTTAATCACGTATTTTTGTGGTGTGACTATGGTGCTTATTCCCTCCTTCGTGTGATGACCCCTCAGGAATGTTCTCTTGAGATGTGATGATGCATCATTCGAAATAAATATGGTGCTATCGATTGAAGCAGATTCATCTTAAAGTAAGGGCTGTTTTTTTTTTTTTGGGGGGTGGGGCGGGGTTAGAAATAACGGATTTGGACAACTTTATCCTATGGAGAAATGGCGTGAGGAAAGAATAAGCTCAGTGTTGTGTGATACTGGAAGAGCAAACGAGAGCCACGAGGAGAAGAGGCGACGTAATCGATAGGCAATCACGGCACGCCGGGGAACAAAAAAAAAGCCCTAGCAGCATATCCGATTATGGTGCAAGAGGGGGGGAGAAAGGGAGGGGATAAAGTGGGTTCCTCACTCGGGGATGGGATGGGGTGAGAGTCATGCGCACGTGTCCCCATCCCTCCTGCCTCAGTCCCCCCCCATCATACATGAGGGTGAAGTGAATCCCTGTTTCCCTTCTCTCGCCGCCCACTTCTCTAAAATGGTACGCTCATTTTCCCCTTCATTTTCGTATTCCGCCCACTTCTCAAAGACTAGGTGCTGATGTTCGCCTTTCAGCGTTCGGCTGTCGTCGAATTTGTTTTTGCCGAATTGCGCGAAACTCTCCGTGTAGGGGTTTTGACGCCACCGATTCGGCAGGAGTTGAAAGCCTCATGACGACACTTGGGATCGCTTTTCGTTCTTGTTCATTCCCTAGGCGCATGACCAGGCTTTCATCTGATGTCCCCCATTGCTCCGCCAGGAGAAACAGAAGAGATTGAATTTCCGTGGAAATTCTCCTTGTTGCGGGCGTGACGAATCGCTAACTCTGAGGCCTCCGATTAGTGCATCTAAACGATAATATAAAAAGCTGGAACCAGATTCGGGTGGGTTACACCCTCTCCTTGCTATCGCTGCAGCTCTGATTCTGATAGCGAAGGCGTTTGACGCCTTCGCCATCGGAAGCGAAGTTCGTGCAGACGCCAACGCCATTCCCCCTCCAACCGAGCCGTAAATTAGAAGGGAATGGATCTCTCTGCGCCTGGGTTAATTCTGCTGTTCTTCACTGAGCTGCGAAGTGGCTTCCCTATCAAACTGAGCCAAGGGCACAGTAGTGCACTCCCATGTAGGGTTGCCACCTTTGATTTAACTAAATGTGGACAAAAATTCGAAATATACCCACAGCCACCTTAAGCCGAGGCGCCAATCGATACTGTTAGTGTGGCCTACTGCTTTTGGCTTACTGAAAATAACGATATTAGCGGCTACTAAGCTTTATTAAGGAAAAATATATATTATAAAGTTCAAAATATGGACAAAACAGTGGTTCATATTCGGACTAGTTTGCAGTATGGACATCTGAAATATGCATTGTCCATACTAATTATGAATGGGTGCCAACCCCACTCTCATGCGAGATCGTCCCAATAGAAGCCCGTTGTCTGTGCGGGCACTTCCGAGGAATGGAGCCGATTCCCATTACGTGCAAGTATTTCCTCGGTCAACTCTTCTACGGGAACGATCTTTTTCGCACGTGACCTCCATACGAAAGCATTACCAGACGTAAGAAAAGGGAGTTTCCATCCTAACCCAAGTAGGAGCGGAAGAAAGAAAAGGGATCGGATTCGTGTCCGTTCGCCGGCCCACTCGAGAAGCTTCCCACGGGGATGCTTTCTGGATTTTAAAGCTTATCAAAAAGAAAACGGGGCCAGAGCCCCAATCCCGTCCCAAGAGCTTTTCAGAACCTAGGACGCCCCAGGCCTATGACCCTCGCAGTTAGACAGTTTTTGGGGGGAAGAAGTCTGGTTGCGCCAGTGAATTGGAACTCATCTCCACCCCCATACGACTTCCCGCCCTCACAACTCACGTTCACGGTAATGCACGCTCACAAAAATCGGTGGACTTCCTTTCTTTTCAATGATCTTTTCACCCGTAACGGTTCGGCTATTTGGGAATTTGAAAGCACATCGTAGAGGATCTTCTGTAATAATAGTAACCGCCCTTGTTGCAGGAAATGGATGATGGAGAGTTGGAGCCATAAGTACCCCAGCCCAATCTATTAAATCCTTGTAGTAATTGGAAGTGCAGACGATGTCCCCCTTTCATCCTCTGCCACTTTTCGATGGATGCGATGTTTCAAAAACCGTTAGAAAATTTTATAACTGGATCTTAATGGAGAATCGCCCATTTTGTCCGCTCCGATATGCGTAGCATATCTGTTACGAATCGAAATTAGCATGCGACAGCATGATCAAAGATTTCGCGCAAGGATCGCTTTACTGGAGAAGGTAACCAATATTTTTTCAGTATCACTGAAAAAGGGTTAAGATCCTCGCTGCCGAATGCAGGCGAAGAGGACGGAATGTTTCCCGATGAGAAAGACTCTCGAGTTGCTTGGCGATGCTGATTGCTTTTCGTCGAACCCATTTCATTGCTTCCGTATCGATTCGTGGAACCGCTTCGGTTGTTTTCATATCCATCGGATATGAAAACAACCGGGTGGAATCCCTGCAGTTCCTTTCATAACCGTTCGCACGGACGGATGAGAACTCTACAGGTATTCTCCCAGTCTGCATAAGACGTTGAAGGAACGTGGACGGAAAGTTCTCCTTTCGACCTTGTTAAAGTGGAATAAACGTCCCTTGAAAACGTGCAATCCACGTTGTTATAAAAAATTCCACGTTAAGAAAACGTTAATTTAGGAACGTTGCCTCAAAGTTTCCCGGAGATGTTCTGTCATCCTTCTTTGTTCATAATTTTGTTGAAACCATTTTTGAAAAATATGGAAGGAAACATTGAAGATATTACATGGTTTACTCAAGCAAAAAAAAAAAGAGATTCACACCTTCACAATCAATAAAGCAAGAGTAGCTCAATCAGATCTCAATGATGGCTAATCTCTTGTTCCCCACTCTGTCCTCCGTCAGATGACAATTAGCTGTTGGAGTTATCAGAGACAGAAAACATGAAAAACTGAATGCTGGCTGAATTCTGCCCAATAAATAGATCTCCTCACCATAGTTTAATAACCTTTTGGGCATTCTTCAGCCATTTTCCGAGCTATATACGTAACATACATTTTTGATACCGCTTATCCCAACTTAATGGGATCGCGGTTCGAGCATGCCCAGTAGCTTCCTGCAAAGATCTCGATCCTTGATCCTGGGCAACGGACTCGAGCTCAGCTGGTGGAATCCCGAGCCTCTCGTGACAAAGCCGAGCGACGTAATCGCTCCACCCTGTACGAGGTCTACCGACAAGTCTTATGTCAGTTATCTTGGCTCGAAGTTTCGAAGTGGAGTCAATTCTTTAGTGAAACTACATTGAACTATGGATTTCTCCCAAATTTCGAGCCGATGTACCGATGTGCAGATTCGTTACTAAAGTGAAGATCTAGAATTTTGGAACTTATTGAGAGCCGTAAAGCCACTTGCCAAATTTCGTCGTGACTTCCACGAGCCACTCGAAACTGGCACCGATCGCGTGTGCCTACATTTAGTCACTTTCCAAGCATTGAGATCTGAAGGCTTTTTTTTTAGTGAAAATAATACCGGCATTAGCGTATGATCTCATTACAAGGGATGAGGCTAGGAGGGAGAAACAATTAAAAAAAAAACACGTAATCTTTCTGCGAAGTGGGTCGAATAAAGGTTTAAATTGAAGCTCATAAATAAGACCAGAGAGTGGTCGTGTCTTTCCTTTCAATGACAAACGATTCCTCGCAGGGTCTTCTGCCTGAGTCGCTTTTCTTCTAACGTTGAAGCACATTTCCCCTGGTGGATTTTTTCTGGGAGTGAAAGAAGCGAACAATTTTTCAAATGGAACAAAGACGTGTCCAGGATGTTCCAAGCAAGTATTAACCTCAATGTTTGTTAAGCTCAGGAGAGGTGATGGGGACTCAAAGATGGTAAGATGGTTAGGAGTGGCCTCAAACACGATGGAGGAGGGTTGAGGAGGGGAGGAGAGGAGAAGAGAAGGGTTGAGGAGGGAAGAATAGTGGTTTGATTCCTCGAAAGCCTCCTCTCCCCTTTCTGCTTTTCCTCCCTCCCCTCCATTACTTCCCTCTCCTAGACGTGTCTCCCACTCAAACAGGGTGGTTTATCCTACCATGAATCCCGTGAGAACGTCATCCCCTTTTTAAACCGCAGTTTCTTTCGTGCGTCTCATGAAATGCTTATTCCAAGAAGGAAAGGGAACAAATCCGGGGGAGGCCTCACGACGAGGAGGAATGCATTATCGGGAAAGACCATGAGGGAAAAAATCTCTCTCGAAAGACTCCGTTCGAGATTGTAACCGCTCTTTCAACTCTCTCCTCTGGAATAGTCCTCAAATCGAAAGCGAACAACCTTACCGAATACTTCTTGTGTGTACGGAGAGGGTTTCGAAAAAATCTGCGGATGCGACCAAAATTTATAAAGGGAGAGAAATCTTTGCCCAAAATCGAGAGAAAGTGAAAAGAGACGGAAAAGTTATATGGCCATGGTGAATCCAATGGAACACTTTCACCCGCTCCGGAGAAGCTATGACCGAGGGAAGAATATGAGAATTCGAGTACTGAAGACAGTCTGAAATGAAATGAAACCCGCACCGCAGGAATGAGAGCATGACATGGATCAATTCGTAAGAGATGGATAGATAGAGCATAGATATAGATAGATAGAGCATAGATCAATGCTAATGAACCGATGGTAGAAAGCAAGAAACATGGCGGAAACCCATTCGAGAGTATCGAGAAAAGTATTGGATGAAGTGTCATTTATGCATGGTGATTCTCAGGCGCTTCAGACGGCTGTATCGGATAAAGAAATGAAGGCGTGGAAAAGAAGCTTGCCGAGTGTCATTCTGGGACCATGGGAGGTCGATCGTCACGAGTGGAGAACGTCGTTTCGGTGGGCGCCGACGGTTCGAGTGCACGACCTGGATGAGGAAGACGACGACGAGCCTGCAGATCTTGGTCGCCGCGGTAACCCCGGTGGATGTGGGGCATCGACGGAACGTTGTTACGAGAACGAACTGAATGCAGCAGTGGGAGTGCGAATATATCAAAAGACGCGCAACTCAAGGCAAGGGTCGCGATCGAAAACATACCAGGAACTTTAGCTCGGAAATGACAGAGAACGAGGAGCGCTACTAAGTCTCCTAAGCCAGGACTTCCGCCCGTCGACTCCCCTGGCAATTGCTCGACGGCGACGTCGATGTTTGCCATCGCCTTTACGATTATCGAGGGCGAACCCGGCGACGGTTCCGTATCCTCTCGTTTCCTCACCGGACTTCTCGGTGCATTTTCCGAGCGCTACCATCGCCTTTAATTGTTCGTTCTTCGATATCTTTGCATCGTTACTGCTGCACTTAGTCCGTGCTCGTAGGTACGTTCCACCGATGCCACTCGATCCGACAGGGTCGACACGGTGACCGCGATCTGCAACAGGTTTACCGCCGTCTTTCGTTTCATCCTGGTTCCCGACTTCGGCCGGTGGCTCCTCCAATGATGAAGTGCGCTACCTATCCTCATGAACTTCCCATGTCCCTTTATGCCACCCGGCTACTTTCATTCCCGTCTTCATTTCTCGGTTCGGTACAGTTGCCTAAAAGCGACTAAAGTACGAGGCCTCACCCCAGAAGTTTCTGCCCTGAGGTTGTAGGAAATCGAAGGAGATTGAAATTTCATACCAATACTTCTTGATCCTGTCAGATATTTTTCAAGTGTCAAGAATCGGTTAATAACGATTGTCAACTGTGCGATACCTGTGGGGTTTTTTTTTCTAGGTCAATCGCATTTAAAGAATATTACATTCGAATATTAAAATGGCAAAATAGAATATGGGTAAGTGGTTTTTTTTTTAAACCGGCCTGTGACACCCGACCTCAAACCGAGTTTTGGTCAAAAAACGACAAAAAAAACGTAAAATCCTACTTTATCATCCTACATCAAATGATACTATTTACAAGATGATGGAAAAGCAAAAATTGAGTTCTACGAGTCTCATTCTTCTTCCGTCTTCTTTTTCTCACATCCTCGGGGCAGAAACTTTTGGATGATCCCTGATTTTTCGAGCATTAGTGCTCCCGTCTTCTGCGACAGATTTCGCCTCGTGTCCCAGTCTCCACGTCTGACTGCGAAGACAGAGAGGAAAATGTACGAAATTAATCCGTTTTTGTTACCTCGAAGTGGTGGAAGAAAATCGTTTGCACTGGAGATTCTAAACTCGATTTCGGATCGTTCAACTTTAATCAATGTCTGAATATTTGAACCATTAGAACCATCCCGTCGGTCGGAACTTCGCGTGTCGCCTTCCTTCTCGCGTTGGAATTCGAAAAAAATGTTGCCTGCCGATAATGATATTTTCATGCCGTCATTTCGTGTCATTTTTTTGCCATTCTCGTGGACCCAGGCGACCAAGAGGAGTTTCGACGTCGCGTTTCTGGCCCGGAGCGACGGAGAATCCAAGAGAAAGAAGGAAGAAGAAGAGGAGAAAAAAAAGGTGGAAGACGGCGAGGAAGAAAAGGACTCCGGACCGGGACCTTCTTACAGTGCGTTCACGCGGGTCTTCCGACCGAGTGCGAACGCGAACCTCCCGCCGAAAGGAGCCACGAGGACGTTCGTGCCGAGTTTCCTCCTCTGCCTGTCGGCACAGAACACCTGCGCCGAGTGCAAGCTCTCCTTCAGGATGACGTCGGATCTCGTGTGTCACATGAGGACTCAGCACAAGAGGACGGACGGGATCGCCGGCCCTGGCATCGGAACCGGGAGAGAGAAACTCGGATGCCCCATCTGCGGAGAGGCCTTCCGGGAAAGACATCATCTCACCCGACACATGTCCGCTCATCGCAACAAACGAGAAGAAGAGGACGAGGAGGAAGAGCGAGAAGAAGAAGAAAAGGAAGACGAGAACCGAAATTCTCCTTAGAGATTGGAACTGAGAAAGCCCGTGTTCGTGCGACGCGAGAATATCCTCTACCTTCCGATACCCCCATCCTCCGATACCCCTCGTCCTCTGATACCCCTCATCCTCCGATACCCCTCACCCTTCGATACCCTTCATCCTCCGGCTCGACGATTAAGTTTGAATCCTCGTGGAAAAGTGAGATGGTTTCTGGAAGTTTGATGATTTCGCAACGAGAGTCGGGCTCGAGCGACAACCGCGTGCCGATGTCGTTGCTCTCTGACGTTCCGTTTCCGAGATTTCTTTCTCGGTCGGAATGGTCGACGACGGGGAAAACGAACGCTCGAGAAAACGAAGAAACGCTTGCTTCGAAGAAATGTGGACGTTCGAACGTTTCGATGCCGAGTTCGGGACGCGTCGCACGTAGTCTCGAACGTCCCATTCGACGGTCTCGATGAGAAAACGATTGCATGTTTACAGTGCACTCCGGATTCCCTCGTTTTTACTGTCACGAGACGCCGAGACGGAGGAGGTGGAGCAGGTGGAGCAGGTGGAGGAAGGACTCCGGACGACAGGAAGGAACATTAGAGGGTGATGACATGACCACTCCGTTTCGCGTCGGATTAACTCGGTGCAGCGATACCGTCGTTTTCCCTGGAACTCCACCGCACTCGGCATGAGCTTTCTTCATCGCCCTCGTGCATCTGGCGATTCGGCCCTCCTCGGTCTTTGGTAAAGGTACTCGAATCCTACTCGTCGTAACGAAATGCTCTCGGGACGGAAGAGATTCCTCAGGCACGTGCCGTCTTGGGACTCGGATTTCGTCGCGCTTCTCCCCCCTCTTTCGAATGGAACCTTCGACGAACGGAATGTGTGGCAGGGCTGGCGGTTCGCGGAAGGACCAACCGCGTGACGGACGAGATGCGAGTGACGAAACGAGGCGGAGGTGAGGAACAGGGAGAATCCACTCTTCTCCACCCATTCCGTGAAGAATTTGGTAT